GGCTTAGTGAGGCTTATAATGAGGCTTAAAACATTACCTTGGGGATTGAAACAACAAGCATGGTATTGTGTGGTGCCGTTACAACAGAGTAGTAAGGCAACTTTTGAGGGCAATGACAAAACTGTGTGTGTGTGTGTGTGTGTGTGTGTGTGTGTGTGTGTGTGTACAAAAAGGAGAGTCTTGCACTTTATGACACAAATATTAAACACGGCACACACACACACAGTGGACGTCGCCAAGCAGTGAGGTATCAGGGCTTGGTCTCTACATTCCAACACCTTACCTGCGGTGTTCCCCAGGGGACCAAGATGGGACCACTGTGCTTCCTCATCCTGATCAACGACGCTCTATCGGACACTCCTCACAGGTGGAAGTACGTGGATGACTGCACTGTGGGGGTTTCAGTGGACAACACCGCACCAGACTACTCATCGCTCCAAGGCACCCTGGGCAGGCTACAGGCATGGACTACGGAGAACAAGGTCACCATCAACCACACCAAAACCGTAGTCATGCACATCAATACCGCCACCACTCCAGTGCAAGCCCCAGCAGTCATAGTGGGTGCCCATCCTCTCCAGCTGGTGCAGTCTGCCAAACTCCTGGGTGTAACTATAGACAACAAACTTGACTGGAAAGCCCATGTAAATAACACAGTCAAGGCAGCCTCGTACCGTCTCTACATGCTACGAAGACTTAGGTCACTTGGGACACCCACGCCAGAGCTGAGGACCATCTACAACGCCTTTATTCTCCCCAAACTAATGTATGCGTCACCAGCCTGGTCGTCTTCTCTCAACTCCACCCAACAACGTCAGCTAGAGAAGGTACAGAAAAGGGCCTGCAGAATCATGCTCGGCGCAGAATACTCCGGCTACACCAACGCTCTCTCCACCCTGGAAATGCCATCCCTCAGTGACCTCCACCACCAAGCACTGGAAAGGGTTGGCCGTGGACTACTGCACCACCCTCGCCATCGCCACCTCCTGCCACCGGCAGCCCCCCACCCAACTCGCGCAGTCCGCCACTGCAACAAAATTCAGCCCAAAAGAGCCCGCACCGATAGATATAAGAACAGCACCATCCCATCTATTGTTAAAATAATAAACAACTCCTGATTTATGTACTGTACAGCCCTGTAAATGTATTTAATGCATATTATATCATTATGTCTAAATCAAATGTAAGTCTGTATATTTTCAGCCACTGGCTGCAACTCTATTAATAAACCGCTTAGTATTATTATTATTATTATTACACACACACACACACACCTTCACCATCTTTGATCTGACCTCTCACCATCTATCACCTGACCTCTCACCATCTTTGACCTGACCTCTCACCATCTTTGACCTGACCTCTCACCATCTTTGACCTGACCTCTCACCATCTTTGACCTGACCTCTCACCATCTTTGATCTGACCTCTCACCATCTATCACCTGACCTCTCACCATCTTTGACCTGACCTCTCACCATCTTTGACCTGACCTCTCACCATCTTTGACCTGACCTCTCATCATCTTTGACCTGACCTCTCACCATCTTTGACCTGACCTGACCTCTCACCATCTTTGATCTGACCTCTCACCATCTATCACCTGACCTCTCACCATCTTTGACCTGACCTCTCACCATCTTTGACCTGACCTCTCACCATCTTTGACCTGACCTCTCACCATCTTTGACCTGACCTCTCACCATCTTTGATCTGACCTCTCACCATCTATCACCTGACCTCTCACCATCTTTGACCTGACCTCTCACCATCTTTGACCTGACCTCTCACCATCTTTGACCTGACCTCTCATCATCTTTGACCTGACCTCTCACCATCTTTGACCTGACCTCTCCCTGCCCTCACAATAGACCGAACTACTATACTTACACAATATTAACCCCTCCTTCTGCCACTACTACAGGATACACAAAGGGTGACGTCTGCAATCACGTGAAGTACTAAGGTGGAGTGAGGGGTTCTGCACCTCCCTCCCTCCCTCCTTCAATCCCTCCATCCCTCCCCCTCTCTCTCCGTCCTTCCCTCCCTCCCTCCTTCCGTGACCTCCATTAATATCATGACCTCCTCACTGTCCCTCCTCTACCCCCTCCTCTACCCCCTCCTCTACCCCCCTTCTCATCTTTCACCACAACCACCACACCTTCTTCCCTCTTCCTCCTTCCCCTTTCTTCCCCTCGTCTCCCCCTTTTCCCTTCTCCTTCTCCTCCTCTCCTCCCTTCCTTCCTCTTCCGTGTGATATACCGTTAATAGCCAAAAGGTGACAGGTGTTTTTTTTGACCTAATAGTCTTTAGGGTCTCAGGTCCCGGTAAGAAAACACCAGCTTACAGACCCAACCACAATATTGCTCTTACGTGGTCTTGTTTTGTGTAGGGAGAAAAATATTAACTACTACTACTACTACTACTACTACTACTACTACTACTACTACTACTACTACTACTACTAATAATAATAATAATAATAATAATAATAATAATAATAATAATAATAATATCAACAATAATAAATCGAAGAAAAAAAAAATATATATAAATTAATAAATAATAATTGGTTCTCTGTGGGGGTGGGGGTGAGGGGGGGGTGGGGGAGTGAGGGAGGAGGGGTGGGGATGGGAGGAGGGACCCTAATATAAATGGAGACTCAGGTGAGATATATTTTCTTAGGTAATATATGTTTAATTTTTTTTTTTTTGGGGAGTATTTTTGTTTTCTTTACTCGTCTCCTCGCCCTTGTCTCCATCAATATTGTCTCCATCAATATTATCTCCATCATTATTATCTCCATCATTATTGTCTCCACTAGTTCCTCCACCACTACTTTCACTACCACCACCAAGTACCTCCTACACCATCCCTCCCACACCTCACCTCTCCTCCCACACCTCTTCTTCCTCCTCCTCCTCCCGCTGCAGATGGAGTCATTACTTAAGTGTCGAGTTTTAGTTTAACAAATTTATTGGCAGAGCTTGTAGTACAGTTTGCCTATTCTGAGTAATTCAGTCAGGTCTTGACACTGAGGGTGGTATCACTTCTCACTGTCACGCAGGACAGAGGTTCACACACAAAGAAATACATCATATTCATTAACAACTATAAATGTATAGAGGTCAGATTCATATGGATAATGTCACTGTTCACTGCCATGCAGGACAGAGGTTCGTACACAAAGAGTTGCATCATATTCATTGACAGTACATATACATATATGTAAACACACACACACACACATATACATACATATACGTATATACATACACATATACATGTACACGTACATATACATGCACACACGCACACATACATACATATACGTCGGTCAGATTCATGTGGGTAATGTCACTTTTCACTGCCATACAGGACAGAGGTTCGTACACAAAGAATGCATCATATTCATTCTCAGATTAACCTACTTCAAGATTTGCCTCTAATTACCCACACCTTTGTTTTTTTTTGTGTTTTTACTACCAGGAATATCACCTTACGATGTGTGTGCGCGCGCGTAAGAGACATGTGACGGACGTGGGAAAGGAGCCCGTCACAATAGGCGAAGGGAGGGGGGGTGTAGAGAGAGGGAGGGAGGAAGGATGAAGAGGAAGATAAAGGCGAGAGGGGGATAGGAAACTGAGTGGGATGGTATACGGGAGGAATGACGAGAGGGAAACGGAGAGGGAGGAAGCGACGAGAGGGATGAAGCGATGAGAGGGGGATGGAGAGGGAATTGAATCTGAAAACTGCATCTTTTATTTAACCACTTTCCTCCCCCCGCCGCCACCACTCCTAATAAACATGACCAGAAACTCCTTGAGATATATATACAAGAAAATGAAAGATAAATACTACCTCAGAAAAAGTTACAGACTCGAGATATTAAAGTTGTGGTTTGAGAAAGATTCGTCATGGGGAAACCAGAATCAGAATTTGAGTTTGGATGATTGAGATTAATTTAACTTTTCGTATATATAGAAATAATTTTAGATATTGTGCATGAACCATGAATCTGTAGTAAGGTATTGATGAAGAGCTAAGGGGAAAAAATAGGGAAATCTCGTCAAGTTTCTCCCCAGGAGTTGAGGAGAAAAAGTAATATCGAGGGGAAAAAAATCCACTCAAATTTACTAGAGATGGAAAGTCGAGGGAATGAATCTTACTTCCGAAGAAAACTATTATTCAATGTGGTTCAGAAGTCTATTTGGATCTCGTGTTTTTTTTAATTTGATAATATATTTTTTTAGACCCATGGAACATTGTAAGATACGAGGAATGTAAACAAAGGAAATAATGTTTATATTTAAGGGTTGGTTATGGGTCCATTTGAGATATTGCCCAAAGTTTCCTTAAGGTCCATGATACTATACCATTAGATTGATGATGCAGACCTTCTTACATGGGCCAATAACTTGTTGCTTGACACTTTCTACATGCTAACGTACTTATATCTTGACCTTTATTAATTTATCTATTTTTTTCCCTCATTTATTATTATTATGTCTTTGGTCTTTTTCCTTATCTTTATGTCTCTCATTTATTATCTTTTATCTCTTACTATTTTACCTCCTTCACCTATCATGTGTTCATCCTCCTGTTCTTTGTTATTTCCTTTCTCGTCCCTCACCTCTCACTATTTCCTCCCTCCCTTTCTCTCACCTCTCACTATTTCCCTCCCTTTCTCTCACCTCTCACTATTTCCTCCCTCCCTTTCTCTCACCTCTCACTATTTCCTCCCTCCCTTCTCTCACCTCTCACTATTTCCTCCCTCCCTTTCTCTCACCCCTCACTATTTCCTCCCTTTCTCTTACCCCCTCACTATTTCTCCTCCCTTCACCCCTCACTATTTCCTCCCTCCTTTCTCTCACCTCTCACTATTTCCTCCTCCCTTTCTCTCACTCACTATTTCCTCCCTCCCTTTCTCTCACCCCTCACTATTTCCTCCCTTTCTCTTACCCCCTCACTTAAACTCCCATCTTTCTTTTTACCAACAGAGGAGGTGTCAGGGGAGATGGTGACAGTACCTGAGGGCCCACCCGGAGTTCCTTGAGTCTTGGCTGATGGAACAGGTGGAGCTGGACACCTTGGAGCGCTGGATGATACGACGTACACAGCGGGACAAGCAGAAGAGTCTTGAGAATGGCACAAACGGTAAGGATCTGTGGTGGGGTGTGATGTGGAGGTGGGTGTGTTTTTAGTTATGCCGGAGTCTTTCATGTGTACTATGGTTAAACTCCTAAGAGCTTTTCTAAGACTAAATCATCATCATCATCATCATCATCATCATCATCATCCACCAGTCATCATCACCACCATCGTTTTCTATACCTGCGTGGGTTAGACGTGATTACCTGGTGGCAAGGAGTCCCAGTTGTCCTCAGGTAAATTTGGTGTTATGGGTCGATGGCTTTACATCACTGCGCCCGCCCACTTACCTGGAATGGCAGTGTGTGTGTGTGTGTGTGTCACCAGAGTGCATATATATCTATAGACGAAATCTCTTATAAAACTCAAACAGGGTTTAAGAGGTATTAAACGCTATTCATCGTTTTAATTATCACAAACTTCAAAAACCTTTCATAAAAAAAATAGCCATTGTCTTATACGAGTTAGTTGAGATTACACATTATTATCATGTTAATATTTGTGGGTGAGTGAGTGCAGAGTGGGTGAGGGAGTGGTGAGTGAGTGAGTGAGGAGTGAGGAGGGAGGAGTGAGGTGGAGTGGAGGAGGAGTGAGTGAGTGAGTGAGTGGGAGAGTGAGTGGGTGAGTGAGTGAGTGAGTGAGTGGGTGAATGAATGAGTGGGTGAATGAGTGAGTAAGTGTGAGGAGAGGAGTGAGTGAGACGTGAAACTCGCGTCCCCTCTTGTATGAATCTGATTCATTGTTTGTTTACGTAAATATCTACCAAGATTTTGTAAACACCTCGGTGTAAATAAATATATCTCAGCCTGGTGTAAACAAACCTCTATTAACCAGGTGTAAACAAGGTCGTATGTCTCTCTCTCATCTCTCTCTCTCTCGTTCTCTATCTCTCTCTCTCTCTCTCTCTCTCTCTCTCTCTCCAGTGTACATATCATACATAATCTAATATAATATACGTTAATTAAATGTTTCTCCACAGGTATATATTAAATTAACAATTATTCACATTATATAAAAAAATTGCTGTAAATAGATAACAAACTATTTTTTTTAATGTCCATTTGTCATTAATAGTGAACATATATGCATTTTCTGCTATCTGTCAATGTCTTGTTCAGGCGCGTCAACCCCAACACCCCCACCCCACCCCTACCCCACCCCACCCTACCCCACCCACTAACCCTACCCCACCCCACCCCACTCCCCCAATTCCCACCCCACCCCACCCCACCCTCACCCTCACTCCACCTCACCCGACCTCCCACTTCCCCCCACCCAACCCCACCCGTGACCATATCGTTGCCAGAAGATGATCTTCTTTTCAATTCCTATCACAACTCAGGCGACTCAACAAGGCGTCAATAGGTGCAAGAAGACGAATAACGCCTCGACAACACCCAGCCGAGCACCAGTCACGTGTTTACCTTCCAATAAACTAAAGGAGAGTTATTTCGGTGTTGATATTTGTTGGACAAATTGGCCCGGAGGAGGAAATTCATCTTGGGAGAGCTCTTGTGAGGATTTTCCGGGTCTCAGAAGATAGTGATTTGAGTGGTGTATTGTGACGGGTTGTAGAGTGGAGTGATAGGAGAGGTAGTAGGGAGTGGGGGGGAAGAAGGAAGGAGGGAATGAGGGAGAGAGAGGAGAGTGTTGATTATATGTATGATGTCTAAAAACACACACACACACACACACACACACACACACACACACACTCACACACTTACTCTGTCACACGATCCATTTATCTCTTCTCTCTCTCTCTCTCTCTCCTGCCGATAAATGACTTAAAATGAAAAAAATAATAATTCATTCACTCGACTTGTAAATGACCAGCCAATTGAAGCATAGATCAAACCTAGGTGTCATCAAAGACCTGACGTAATTAACTAAACCTAAATAAAAACAAAACAAAAAAACGAAATAATTGGATTTTTTTTTACGATTTTTTTTTTAGGAATCGTTTTCTGTCACAATATGGAGGTGTTAATTAATTTCAGGTCATTTGATGATTGAAGATTTTATTTAATTTTTTTAATTTTGGGGCTTTTATTTTTTTTTTACCAGGTCTAAATTATGATAAGTGAAATCTTGAAGACGTTCCATGTTACTTGTTCCTTGAAGACTCCGCTTGTTCCTTGAAGGTAGCATAGGCGGGGAGGGTGAGGACAGATGATAACGGAAGGAAGTGGAGTGATAACAAGAGTGGAAAGAGAAGAGGAGAGAGTGATAACGGGAAACAGAGAAGATGATAATGGGGTGAGAGGGAATGTTAACGAAGAGACTGGGAATAGGAAGAGGATAATATCGAGGACAGAAGAGAGGACAATAATGTATGGAGAGGAAGAGAAAAATAATGATTGAAATGGCGCACTTACAGGAGGGTGGTTCTGGCTCCTCCTCCACGTCACGTACTCCAACCCTCCCCTCCTCCCTGTCACGTACCAACAACCACCCCCCCTCCTCCCTGTCACGTACCCACAACCACCCCTCCTCCGTCACGTACCCCCAACCACCCCCCCTCCTCCACGTCACGTACCAACAACCCTCCCCCTCCTCCACGTCACGTCCCACAACCACCCCCCCCTCCTCCCTGTCACGTACCAACAACCCTCCCCTCTCCTCCACGTCACGTACCCCCAACCACCCCCCCTCCTCCATCACGTACCAACAACCACCCCTCCCCGTCACGTACAACCCCCCCTCCTCCACGTCACGTACCAACAACCACCCCCCCTCCTCCACGCACGTACCCCAACCACCCCCCTCCCTGTCACGTACCCACAACCACCCCCCTCCTCCTGTCACGTACCAACCACCCTCCCTCCTCCTGTCACGTACCAACAACCACCCCTCCCCTCATCCCTGTCGTACCCCTCCCCCTCCTCCACGTCGTACCCACAACCACCCCCTCCTCCCTGTCACGTACCAACAACCCTCCCCTCCTCCCCTGTCACGTACCAACAACCACCTCCCCTCCTCCCTGTCACGTGCCCCAGCCACCCCCCCCCATCCTCCCTGTCACGTACCAACAACCACCCCTCCCCTCCTCCCGTCACGTACCCCAACCACCCCCTCCTCCTGTCAGTACCCACAACCACCCCCTCCTCCTGTCATGCCAACAACCCCCCTCCTCCCTGTCACGTACCCACAACCACCCCCCCCCTCCTCCTGTCACGTACCAACAACCCTCCCCCTCCTCCACGTCACGTACCAACAACCACCCCCCCCCTCCTCCACGTCACGTACCAACAACCCTCCCCTCCTCCCTGTCACGTACCAACAACCACCCCCCCTCCTCCGTCACGCCAGCAACCCCCCCCTCCTCCACGTCACGTACCCCAACCACCCCCCTCCTCCCACGTCACGTACCCACAACCCCCCCCCTCCTCCATCACGTACCCACAACCCCCCCTCCTCCCCTGTCACGTACCAACAACCCTCCCCCCTCCTCCACGTCACGTACCCAACCACCCCCCCTCCTCCACGTCACGTACCCCAACCACCCCCTCCTCCCTGTCACTGTACCCACAACCACCCCCCCTCCTCCATCCACGTACCCAAAACCACCCCCCTCCTCCTGTCACGTACCAACAACCACTCCCCTCCTCCCTGTCACGTACCCTAACCACCCCCCTCCTCCCCGTCACGTACCCACAACCACCCCCCTCCTCCACGTCACGTACCAACAAACCCTCCCTCCTCCCTGTCACGTACCCCACAACCACTCCCCTCCTCCACGTCACGTACCACAACCACCCCCCCCCTCCTCCTGTCCTGCACCCACAACCCCCCCTCCTCCCTGTCACGTACCAACAACCACCTCCCCTCCTCCCGTCACGTACCCCAACCACCCCCCTCCTCCACGTCACGTACCAACAACCACCCTCCCCACGTCACGTACCAACAACCACCCCCTCCTCCACGTCACGTACCCACAACCACCCTCCTCCACGTCACGCCAACCACCTCCTCCACGTCACACCAACAACCACCCTCCTCCACTACGTACCAACAACCACCCCCTCCTCCACGTCACGTACCAACAACCACCCCCTCCTCCACGTCACGTACCCACAACCATTCTCCTCCCTGTCACGTACCAACAACCACCCTCCTCCATCACGTACCAACAACCACCCTCTTCCACGTCACGTACCCACACCCCCTCCCCTGTCACGTACCAACCACCCCTCCTCCACGTCACGTACCAACAACCACCCCCTCCTCCACGTCACGTACCCACAACCCTCCTCCTCCCTGTCATCATACCAACAACCACTCTCCTCCACGTCACGTACCAACAACCACCCCCTCCTCCACGTCACGTACCCAACCACCCCTCCTCCACGTCACGTACCAACAACCACCCCCTCCTCCACGTCACGTACCCACAACCATTCCTCCTCCCCTGTCACGTACCAACAACCACTCTCCTCCACGTCACGTACCAACAACCACCCCCCTCCTCCACGCTCACGTACCCACAACCACCTCCTCCACGTCACGTACCCACAACCATTCCCTCCCTGTCACGTACCAACAACCACCCCCTCCCTGTCACGTACCCACAACCACCCCCTCCTCCTGTCACGTACCAACAACCACCCTCTCCTCCACGTCACGTACCAACAACCACTCCTCCCTGTCACGTACCAACAACCACCCCTCCTCCCTGTCACGTACCAACAACCACACCCCCTCCCTGTCACGTACTCACAACCACTCCTCCTCCACGTCACGTACCAACAACCACCCCCTCCTCCACGTCACGTACCAACAACCACCCCCTCCTCCACGTCACGTACCAACAACCACCCTCCTCCACGTCACGTACCAACAACCACCCCCTCCTCCACGTCACGTACCAACAACCACCCCCCCTCCTCCACGTCACGTACCAACAACCAAATCATAGTTGTTGAGGACCTTGGCAGTGCGGTGTCTCTGTGGAACTTTCTCAGCCGCGAGTTTCTTCAAATTGAAAAACTTTGACCTGAGAAACTATCCAACCTAACCTAACCTAACCTAACCTAACCTGTTTCTGCATTCTTTTAAATACTTATTAATTATTTTTACCACCCAAAATACTAAAACTATGAATGATCTTTATTTTCTTCTTTTTTACAAGTATTTACGTAAAATAATCGTCAGCGTTTTCTTGTAAATATAGAACAGGTGGTTATTTTATTGATATAATACCCGTACTATAAATTTGGTCTATAGTTTCAATATATCAACTATAATTCTACCTGGAATTATGATGTGTTCTAATTTAATACTCGAATTTGTCTATGAGTCTAATATACGTATTGGTTCTAGTTCGTTTTGTGTTATCTGTATACCAACCCGTATCTAAATCTAGCTTGTAAACGTATAATGTCAACGTTTCACCTAATCCTATGTCTACTATGCCGGAATCAATATACAGTCCAGTGCCTCTGTGTACCTGTGATAATAACTAAATCAACTATATTTTTGTGTAATTAATTTTGTAAACTTTATATAATCTTCCGTTGGTTGTGTCACTTTTTTTTAATTAATAATAACTATATAAATACAGTGTACGTTTTGTTTTATTTTAAATTTCAAGTGCCAGCTCCGACTACAACTGCTCCACTTAAGAGGTTGTCAAGTAAGTGTTCCTCAGTTACCAGCGCACTTTTTTTTTCTTTCCTTCACAACTCTATGTAGTGGCGTGACCTGACCTCACCTGACCTCACCTCACCTGACTGGATGGGAAACAGTCTTGATGTATTTTGGACATTTACACAAAGCATTCCGAAGTACATATGTAGAATATTACACACACACACACCCACCCACCCACCCACCCACACACACTGATCAAAATACGTAAGGACTTGTTGTTTTCAAGGAGACATACACGAAACCCTAACCACTGTCCATCTGTAACTACCCACATACAGCTCGTGGTTTGGGGGGCGCTCACTGTATTTAACTTTCCATGGTTAACGACCCAACCACGAGTTTTATTAACCAAGTGAAGGTGGTGTTCTTTGCTGTCTTATTAACCACAATTTTCAGAGATTGTGGTTGAGGAGGTAGTCAAAGACCTTCTGCAGTTTCTGTCACTAGTCATGGCGAGTTCTTGAAGGTCACGCTTTCTAGATAGAGTGTAGCCTCTACGCACAGACTTTGCAAGTAATCACGTAGTTGCCTGACCACTAGTTAACTACAGCAACGTTACCTGACCACTTAGTTAACTATACAGCAACGTTATTCCGACCACTTAGTTAACATATAGCAATGTTACCTGACCACTTAGTTAACTACAGCAACGTTACCTGACCACTTAGTTAACATACAGCAACGTTACCTGACCACTTAGTTAACTACAGCAACGTTACCTGACCACTTAGTTAACTATACAGCAACGTTACCTGACCACTTAGTTAACTATACACAACGTTACCTGACCACTTAGTTAACTACAGCAACGTTACCTGACCACTTAGTTAACTATACAGCAACGTTACCTGACCACTTAGTTAACTACAGCAACGTTACCTGACCACTTAGTTAACTACAGCAACGTTATCTGACCACTTAGTTAACTACAGCAACGTTACCTGACCACTTAGTTAACTATACAGCAATGTTACCTGACCACTTAGTTAACTACAGCAACGTTACCTGACCACTTAGTTAACTATACAGCAACCTTACCTGACCACTTAGTTAACTACAGCAACGTTACCTGACCACTTAGTTAACTATACAGCAACGTTACCTGACCACTTAGTTAACTACAGCAACGTTACCTGACCACTTAGTTACCTGACCACTTAGTTAACTATACAGCAACGTTACCTGACCACTTAGTTAACTACAGCAACGTTACCTGACCACTTAGTTAACTACAGCAACGTTACCTGACCACTTAGTTAACTATACAGCAACGTTACCTGACCACTTAGTTAACTACAGCAACGTTACCTGACCACTTAGTTAACTATACAGCAACGTTACCTGACCACTTAGTTAACTATAACAGCAACGTTACCTGACCACTTAGTTAACTACAGCAACGTGACCTGACCACTTAGTTAACTATATAGCAGCCTCATTACAGACATCTTTTCTGTTGTCTTGACGCGGGAATGACTATTAACTGGAAAAACCACTTCGTCTCCCAAACTACATTCACCACAGATAACAGTTGATGGGTTAAACTCTAGTGCACCTGGAGCTTGTTAGTCAGTCAGTTACAAGATCCGTATTACCAGGCCGATGCAAATGGATATAACTCACAATTGAACGGAATTTAAAGTGTTACAGCGCCGCCATTTTCCAGCCATTACTCAGCCATTACTCAGCCATCTTACAGCCATTACTCAGCCATCTTACAGCCATTACTCAGCCATTACTCAGCCATCTTACAGCCATTACTCAGCCATTACTCAGCCATCTTACAGCCATTACTCAGCCATCTTACAGCCATTACTCAGCCATTACTCAGCCATCTTACAGCCATTACTCAGCCATTACTTACAACAGATTTCGAGTTCACTGTTTACACTTTGTACACTTTCACAACTCTCTCTCTCTCTCTCTCTCTCTCTCCTATATCCTGTTTCCAATCATATTGATCAAGGAAATATCCCGAGCTACAGACTGTTCCTCTTTCCTGCCTCTACCACTGGGAAACACCCGATTGCTTGGCCTCGTCTCTCCTCTCAGTAGTGAAGAAAAAAAATCTATGACTGTGTTGAATTCTTTTGGTATCATTTCTCGTCTCCCCATCTCATGTTATCAGACCCGGAAGTAATGTAACGTAATTTTTAAGGCCACAGTAATATTTCCGGGTGATATTAAAGTATTTTGTTCTCTAGTTATTTGTTGAGGTGAAGTTAGTTACTGAAACGCGAGAACTCACTATCATAAATATGTGTCGGGAGTGTTTGGTAGGACTGGTGACTATACACACACACACACACACACACACACTATGAACAACACAAGGGGCTAAGATGGTCGGCAAGAAGCCAGTTTGCTATATTATGAAGAAACTTAAACTATATAGGTATTATTGGAACGGGTATGAAGTTCGTATGTCATCACTGAAGACTTCTAAAATGTTCCTTTATCAAAACAATGTGTGTATGGCGAGGAATGTATATTAACAAGATCATCATGTTTTATTTAAAGAAGAAGCTATTTTTACCTTTGTGAAATATACACCTGTGTTCTATTTAATATTTTCATAGATTTGGGATAGTGTTTTTTCATATATTAGTAGTATTTTATTTATTATACGCATGATTGGGTACATGCTAATAACGTTGGAGGGTTGGGTGTATTTTTAAGTATGTTGTATTGTATTTATTTTTTTAATTTTATACTTGACTAACGCCGCTAATGATTGCCAGCTCTTCTTCATTCATCCACATCAAAGCATCAATACTAATTACTGGCAGGATATAAAGCATAAGTCCTCTCAAAAAAAAAGTCCGAGAAATTAAAAAAAATCCGAGGAAAAAAAATCAGAGGGTCTGTGATATAAATGATTGGACGAACGGAGGCATCTTGTCAAGGTAAACAAACCGGGCAAGTCTTATAAGGATTCTCCATGATTCTGTTGGTGAAATGACGATCCCTTATTTGAGACGAGAAACCTTCCTAGTGCTGTCATAACATTCCCTTAACTCTCAGATACACACACGTACACAAACACACACACGTACACACACACACACACACACACACACACACACGTACACACACACACACACACACACACACACACACGTACGTCTACGTCTCCTGTTGTCATGGTATTAGATATTTGAGGTCTTGTTTACTGTCGTGTGTGATCCATCAATCCATTCTCTGAAATTACCTCTAAATCCTTCATCAAACACAAGGTGGAAAAAGGGATGAGACGATAAGTAACCTAGATTCTGATTTGCTCACTGAACACATCCGTAGAACGCCATTGGCTACCTGTGTGTTGTCTGGTGGGCGGTGGTGCCACATCTCACAAAACACGCTAGCAACTGTACCTGTTGTAATTGGAGGCAACTGTACATACGTGTCAGTGTTACAAGGACACGTGTCTTCGCTGACGAGAAACGGAAGCAATCAGTCCATAAGAAAAATGCAATTTCGAAAAGCTCTTCCATCACAGGTACGACTTCAGTCTATCTTATTTACAATTGATCCCCGCGGCAGGTGTTTCATGTTGGTTCAATTTGTGGCGCATCACTCCCATCAGGTGGTAGTGTGGTGCATCACTCCCATCAGGTGGTAGTGTAGTGCATCACTCCCATCAGGTGGTAGTGTGGTGCATCACTCCCATCAGGTGGTAGTGTGGTGCATCACTCCTGTCAGGTGGTAGTGTGGTGCATCACTCCCATCAGGTAGTGTGGTGCATCACTCCCATCAGGTGGTAGTGTGGCATCACTCCCTATCAGGTAGTGGTGCATCACTCCTGGTATCACTTGCCTGTGGTAGGTGTGGTGCATCACCTCTGTCAGGTCACTCCCGTCAGGTGGTGCATCACTCCCATCAGGTGGTAGTGTGGTGCACACTCCTGTCAGGTGGGTGTGGTGCATCACTCCTGTCAGGTGGTAGTGTGGTGCATCACTCCCTGTCAGGTGGTAGTGTGGTGCATCACTTCCTCAGGTGGTAGTGTGGGTATCACTCCTGTCAGGTGGTAGTGTGGTGCATCACTCCCATCAGTGGCCTATCACCCCACATCACTCCCATGCAGTGTGGTAGTGTGGTGCATCACTCCTGTCCGGTGGTGGTGTGGCATCACTCCCATCAGGTGGTAGTGTGGTGCATCACTCCTGTGTGGTGGTGGTACCTCATCACATCCCTCCCCGTCAGGTGGTAGTGTGGTGCATCACTCTGTCAGGTGGTAGTGTGGGTGCAGGTGGTAGTGTGGCGAACTCCCACATCATCACTCCTGTCAGGTGGTAGTGTGGTGCATCACTCCTGCCAGTCAGGTGGTAGTGTGGTGATCACCCTGCAGGTGGTAGTGTGGTGCATCACTCAGTCAGGTGGTAGTGTGGTGCATCACTGTCAGGTGTAGTGTGGTGCATCACTCCTGGCCAGGTGTGGTAGTGTGGTGGTGCATCACTCCTGTCAGGTGGTAGTGTGGCATCACTCCAGGTGGTAGTGTGGGTGCAGTCAGGTGGTGTAGTGGTGGTGCAGCATGCCAGGTGGTAGTGGTGCATCACTCCCATCAGGTGTAGGTGTGGTAGTGTGGTGGTGCATCACTCCCATCAGGTGGTAGTGTGGCATCACTCGTCAGGTGGTAGTGTGGTGCATCACTCCTGTCAGGTGGTAGTGTGGTGCATCACTCCTGCCAGGTGGTAGTGTGGTGCATCACTCCCATCAGGTGGTAGTGTGGTGCATCACTCCCATCAGGTGTAGTGTGGTGCATCACTCAGGTAGGGTGGTGCATCACTCCCACAGGTGTGCATCACTCCTGTCAGGTGTGTGGTGCATCACTCCCTGGTGGTGGTGCATCACTCCTGGGTGGGTGGTGCATCACTCCTGGGTCAGGTGGCCAGGTCACTGGCCAGTAGTGTGGTGCATCACTCCTCAGGTGGTAGGGTGGCATCACCCTGCCAGGTGGTAGTGTGGTGCACCACTGCCCAGTGTATGGTAGTGTGTGGGTGCATCACTCCCATCAGGTGGTAGTGTGGTGCATCACTCCTGGGTCAGGGTGGTAGTGTGGTGCATCACTCCTGTCAGGGGTGGTAGTGTGGTGTCACCTTGCAGGTGGTAGGGTGGTGCATCACCCTCTGTCAGGTGGTAGGTGGTGCATCACTCCTGCCAGTGGTAGTGTGGTGTATCACTGGTGTGGTAGGGGTCATCACTCCTGTCAGGTGGTAGTGTGGTGCATCACCCTGTCAGGTGTAGGGTGCATGTGGTGCATCACTCCTGCCAGTGGTAGTGTGGTGCATCACTTCCTATCGGGTGGTAGTGTGGTTGCATCACTCCCATCAGGTGGTAGTGTGGTGCATCACTCCCACAGCCAGGTGGGTAGTGTGGTGCATCACCTCCTCAGTCAGGTAGGTGGTGCATCACTCCCAGGTGGTAGTGTGGCATCACCCTGTCAGGTGGTAGTGTGGCATCACTCCTGTCAGGTGGTGTGGTGCAATCACCTCTGTCAGGTGGTGTGTGGCATCACTCCACCAGGTGGTAGGTGTGTGCATCACTCTGTCAGGTGGTGGTGTGGGTGCATCACTCCTGTAGGTGGTAGTGTGGTGTATCACTCCTGTCAGGTGGTAGTGGCATCACTCCTGTCAGGGTAGTGTGGTGCATCACTCCCGTCAGGTGGTAGTGTGGTGCATCACTCCCGTCAGGTGGTAGTGTGGTGCATCACTCCCGTCAGGTGGCAGCACACACACACACATGATTGGAAGTGGTGTGCAGGGAAGGTTTATTCACCCAGCAGTCTTGTCAATAGCTGTGTCCACTTTCATTAGACACCCGAGTAAAGATCCTGAAATAGATATAAGAAATTGCCTGTACCATTTTGTTACACGACATCCGTGTATTTTTATTTATTTATTTATATATTATTTTCTGTATTCAATAACGGTCTTATTTGTGTACCTGACTTTACCAGGTAGCATACAGGTGTGAGTTACCACCTTGGAACGTAAGTGTGTTTGGCTATGTATTTGTTTATCTCAGAACTCGTGTTCCTTAGAACATACAATTTTATCTACTTGAAACATAAGAAATCCAATTCATTGAGCTGTGGGTTCAGATTTACAAAGATTATGTTAATTAATATTGTTCCTTAATTACGACAGAGTATTTTAATTTCTAATATAATTTTGAACATAATTTTTTTTACAATATCTGACGCCTGAGGTGTTCTCACGTCTTCATTTACGAGGAAAATTCACAAATGGCGAATCTTTGAGAAACTTTCCCATGTGTTTTGAGGTCAGAGCTCCTACAGGGGTGGTGGGGAGGGGAGGAGTAGAGGGAGGGAGGGCGGGAGGAAGTGGGTTGTCAGCCAGTCACACATACTTCACGTCTTCCAGCTCCACTAGCACACAGTCTACGGGAGAGCGTAGCGGGAGTTAAGTTTACAGGACCAGTGTACACATAGCTAACACCACCATTAACACACACACACACACATACACACACACAAACACAATCACACACACACACACACACACACTCATAACTTCTCCATATTTAGAAAAAAATAAATAAGTAAATAATGAAAAATACGGGTAAATAAAAATAAACCAATTTAGTGGTAAACCGTGAGTTTGTGTGGAGCGTTTTGTCAGCAGAAGGATCTCCCTAAGATCTCGTATGTGTAAGATAACAGGTTTTTGTGGTATATTGCTGTTACTGGGTAAATATTGGCTTTTGTGGGGACGTAAAAATAGTTGAGATGTAAGAGCTACACAGGTATCGAGGAGATGTAACTTGCCAGCCAGGAGACGATGTGGAGGCTACAGTGACACCCACGAAACTGATGACCGATGGTGAGGAACGCAGGAACAAGTGAAAGAGTTAGTTAGCACTTTCTATTTACGAAGTATCACCTAACGCTAACATTACACGCTGATGCAATTTCGTCATACATTCGCATATATGCACTGTAATGCTGCTATCATGCACGACGTAGCACCTAGACTATCATGCACAGTTCATGCAGCTTTAAAATAATATTCATAGCGCTATATATGCCACAATATACACACACCCTAGAGTAATTGGCTTCATTCCACGATTTTTTGTTCTCTTTTTAATAGTCGATTTTTATGACTCCTCCATAAAAGGTAAATTTCAATCCGAATTATCAGGCAGAGATAATATTCCTTGAACATTAATAAAAAAGCTGTTTATATCCGGGTGTTGTTTATTCTGTGTTGACTAGCAGTAAACAAACTGATTCGCCAGAGAACTGTTTACTCCCGGCCTGTCCTGCCCTCCTGTGAGCCAGCCAGACCCTTGTGTACTAACCAACGCCTCTCTTTTGTTTATCCTCAGGTAAAATCATACGGAAGACTAGCTTATCCCGGTGGAAGGTAAGACTATTGTTTTTGTTATTAATGTAGGGTTGTGGTGTGGTGTTCTCCCTCAAAAGTATACTGTACTATACAAGTCAAATATTAAGTTACTTATCTTCTGTGTCTTTTTCATGTGTTTGTAACCTTAAAATAACGAAGTAAAATTTTTATGGGAGTATTAATTCCCCTGTTTTGATCTTATTTTTGTTTATGTTCTAGTCTTCATATATGGAGAAAATGTAGGTAAAACACACACACACACACACACACACACACACTTCATCAACATGTCCCCATCTTACCTGTGATATATTAAGTGGTAGATAGATAAAATATATAGATAATGTATTCAGTAAATTTGTGTCCTTGAGTAGATAGTTAACCCAGATAATTTATAGATTAATTCTCGTTCCAGTTTTCACATTACAAATCCCATCACTCTCACCACTACCCTCACCATTACCCCTCACCACTACCCCACCACCACCCCCTCACCCCACCCCACCCTACCCACCACTACCCTCACCATTACCCTCACCACTACCCCCCATCACCCCTCACCACTACCCCTCACCATTACCCCCCACCCCACCCTCACCATTACCCTCACCACTACCCTCACCACTACCCTCACCATTACCCTCACCATTACCCTCACCATTACCCTCACCATTACCCTCACCATTACCCTCACCACTACCCTCACCATTACCCTCACCATTACCCTCACCATTACCCTCACCACTACACATATATACAGTACATACAGCCAGCCTGGAGCTCTCATCCACCCTTGTTTATTATCGCCATATGGCTACTTTTAACCATCAAATTCTGCTTCGTCGCTTAGTCTCTCAAGTCTTCCCCACACAGAGTACTTTCCTTAAATATATAACTAAACATCTTTTTTCTCCTGTTATTAGCCTATTTTGTCGTTATATGGCCAGAGAAATGCGAATATCCTTAACTTTAATTAGATTTCTGGGTTCAGTATTAATTATTTTCTCTTACCAATAAGCCTCTTTTGTACCCAGTGATGGTTCTTAATTAGTGTTAAAAAAAGACAGAGTATTTTCATCTTTTATTTGGTACTTTCTTACTCTATGGTGGATCGTGGTTTGTGTTTTGGATGTACAAGTTGTCGGTGTTGAAGTGTACTGTCTCTCTGTCTCTCATCTACTACACTGGAGCCTAAAAAGCCAAATGAAAAGGTGAAGGAGAGAGATTGATCGAATGCCATATTAAACAACAATACCACCGCTGCCACCAACTCTCTGCCAACCAACAGTCCCACCGCTGCCACCAACTCTCTGCCAACCTACAGTCCCACCGCTGCCACCAACTCTCTGCCAACCAACAGTCCCACCGCTGCCACCAACTCTCTACCAACCTACAGTCCCACCGCTGCCACCAACTCTCTGCCAACCAACAGTCCCACCGCTGCCACCAACTCTCTGCCAACCTACAGTCCCACCGCTGCCACCAACTCTCTGCCAACCAACAGTCCCATCGCTGCCACCAACTCTCTGCCCACAGTCCCAACCAACTCTGCCAACCAACAATCCCACCGCTCTACCAACCTACAGTCCCACCAACCAACTCTCTGCCAACCAACAGTCCCACCGCTGCCACCAACTCTCTGCCCCCCCGCTCCCACCCACCGCTGCCACCAACTCTCTGCCAACCTACAGTCCCAGTCTCTGCTCTCTGCCACCAACTCTCTGCCAACCTACAGTCCCACCGCTGCCACCAACTCTCTGCCAACCAACAGTCCCACCGCTGCCACCAACTCTACCAACCTACAGTCCCACCGCTGCCACCAACAGTCCCACCCTGCCACCAACTCTGCCAACCTACAGTCCCAATCTGCCACCAACCTCTGCCAACCTACAGTCCCACCGCTGCACCAACTATCTGCCAACCTACAGTCCCACGCTCCCACCAACTCTCTACCAACCTACAGTCCCACCACACCAACTCTCTGCCAACCAACAGTCCCACCGCTGCCACCAACTCTCTGCCAACCCAACAGTCCCACCGCTGCCACCAACTATCTGCCAACCTACAGTCCCACCGCTGCCACCAACTCTCTGCCAACCAACAGTACCACCTCTGCCACCAACTCTCTGCCAACCAACAGTATCACCTCTGCCACCAACTCACCCTCAACCAACATTTCTCTGATCATTTCCTCAAGGGTGACATTTGGTGTTTTTCCCTCAAGTCATCCTCGAGCGTAGAGATAAAAATAATGACCTTGCTGTCCTTATTATGTCTCTGTGAGGGGCCTGACACAGCTGATAACAACCTCTACCTCCTCTTCCTTCCTTCCTTCCTCCTCCTTCCATATTTGGCTACTCTGTCTCATTTGTACTTTCAGTTTATTCTTATTTTGCTGTTTTTTCTGGTATTTATTTCTCTTTTTTATCTAATTGATGTTGTTGTTTTATTATTTTCCTTTTACTAATTACCAATCACGTTTGTTCATTTGGTTTGATTGTGTTAGTTTAGGTTTAATGTGTGCAATTGCCTCACCTCTTGCTTTAAGTGTGAGACTCGACACACACACGGTTGACGATGTACTGAATATTCTCACATCTAGAAACATTACATCAAATGAGCCCTTCACTAACAACCATCACTTGGCAACCATTTTTCCCTAGCAACCGGTTATACATAATAAAAAATATGACACAACGTGTTTGGTGTCATGTTAAAGTCATTTCTGCGAAATAAAATAATATAAACTATCACTGTATTTTCCTCTAACCTCGCTTGATCTTTCCCGACCCAGGTTAATAGGCCTACCTGTTTATTCTCAATTACCAGATCATATACAGGGTGGTTTAAAAAAGGTCCCTGTTTTCTTGGAAGAGTTAAAAATGTTTCCTGTGACCAACTGTAAGGAACATCAACTAGAGAGTATAATAGTTCCTGACGTGATTCACTAACTAAGGAAAAAGTGATCCACATTGCCTGTCATATTTCCTTGACAAGTTCCCTCCCAGTTACCAGATGAAGGTGAAGGATAACGATCTTCACTTAACACTGATTGCGACTCGCCTACTAGTGCCCCTGTCGCCTCCTGTGTTGTGTTAAGTGAGTCATTGTCGGAGGACTGATTGTTATTTGACAGTTTCTTGGTTTCTGAGATCTGAGAAGAGGTTTTGTGTAATACAGTGAGGAGTTACGTCACCTTGCTGCTCTATGACGAGGAGTAAACATCACCTTCACGTCACTATGATGCTCCAATGGGGCTCCGTCCATCTCTCTTGGGATTTGTAAAGGGGTTTTCAGGGTCTTGTGTGAGTGTACATTCCCTCTCCCACCACTCTCCCACCTGTTCCTGCTCCCTCTCCCACTACTCTCCCACCTGTTCCTCCTCCCTCTCCCACCACTCTCCCACCTGTTCCTCTTCCCTCTCTCACCACTCCCCCACCGGTTTATCTTTTCAGGGAGGCTTATTGAATCTTTTTCCCGTCGCTTTTGACATTTTCAAAGCCTCTGATAGAATATGGCGTAAAGGTTTGCCCTCCCGTCTCCTCACCTTTGACCCTCATCCACCATCTTACCTGTCTCATCAACCATCTTACCTGTCTCATCCATCACCTTACCTGTCCCATCCCATCACCTTACCTGTCTCATCCATCACCTTACCTGTCTCATCCATCACCTTACCTGTCCACATCCACAACCTTACCTGTCCTCATCCACCACCTTACCTGTCTCATCCATCACCTTACCTCTCCCATCCATCACCTTACCTGTCTCATCCATTGCCTTACCTGTCTCCATCCATCACCTACCTGTCCCTCATCCGCCACCTTACCTGTCCCTCATCCACCACCTTGCCTGTCCCTCATCCGCCACCCTTGCCTGTCCTCATCCATCACCCACCTGTCCTCATCATCCATCACCTTACCTGTCCTCATCCACCACCTTACCCATTCTCATCATTCACCACCTTCCTGTCCCATCCACCACCTTACCTGTCCTCATCATCCACCTTACCTGTCATCATCCACCACCCACCTGTCCTCATCATCCACCACCTTACCTGTCCCTCATCATCCATCACCCACCTGTCCTCATCCACCACCCACCTGTCCCTCATCATTCACCACCACCTGTCATCCACCACCTTACCTGTCCTCATCATCCATCACCTTACCTGTCATCATCCACCACCTTACCTGCTCTCACATGTCCTCACCTTACCTGTCCTCATCATCCATCACCTTACCTGTCCTCATCCACCACCTTACCTGTCCTCATCATCCACCACCTTACCTGTCCTCATCATCCATCACCTTACCTGTCCTCATCATCCACCACCTTACCTGTCCTCATCCACCACCTTACCTGTCCTCATCCACCACCTCACCAACGTATCACCACTAATTAAGATTTTCCTACATTCATCACCTTACCTTTGTCTCCTCACCACCACACTCGTCCTTTAGAAGTGAGGAAACATTTGTAAGCATCACAGAGACTGGCAACTCGACCGCCACTTGTTGCACCATCCTTTAATACTTCCCACTGGCCAAGAGTTTCCACACTATGGCCATTTTTTCTCGGTCTCTCTTTCAGGTATATACATTCTCCTCCTCTTCCTCCTCCTTTCATGTCCAACTGCTCTGCCACCAAACAAACTTACCGAGCCTGAGCCGTTCCAAAGAGCAGAGGAGTTGGCTACAGTAAATCCTTATTACAGCCCACACAGTATATAGTGCTTCGTGCCACGGTGTTCAGAGTTCATCCCAACACTTTCACCCTCTCACCCACCAACACAGACACCCGCTCACCCACCAACACAGACACCCACTCACCCACCAACATAGACACCCACTCACCTACCAACACAGACACCCACTCACCCACCAACACAGACACCCACACACCTACCACCATGGAGGCGTAAATATCTCCATGCCCACCACCACCACTACTACTACTACTTTGCTGTCACTCGAAATTGGGGAGGACGATCATCCAGCTATGATTGATACACTGATATGAGTTATTAGGGATGTCACCTAGGTTAGTGAGTTTTGAGGTGACTAAAGAGGCCGATACGGGACTCGCAGCGTCGTTCACATTCGCTGCACATGTGCAGGCCTCTATCTACTACGGGAGGGGCGGTGACAGCGTCTTTCCGGCGTTGGCGCTTGTCTGCCTTGGTATGTAGTCGGGCTAACTCGAAAGTATTGACACCTTCTCGTGTGGTGCTCCTCCAAGCGTTACGGTGTGGAATAGTCGTCTCCCAGGTGAGGGGGTCGATTTGGCACTTTTTCAGGTTTGTCTAAAGACTATTCTTATACCTTTTCAGTTGCCCGCCGGCGTTACGTTTATTATTCGTTAGGTGACTGTAAAGTAGCTGCTTTGGCAGTCTACTGTCGTACATGCGGGTAACATTGCCAGTCCAACGTAGTTGTTCATGGATAATGGTAGCCTCGATGCTCCTACAGTTGGTGTCAGCGAGAATACTGGCATTTGTTTTCTTGTCTCCCCAGCGAACTCGGAGGATGGCACGTAGACTACGTTGGTGAAAGTTTTCAAGTGCCTTGAGGTGCCTCCTGTATGTGACCTATGTCTCGCTGCCATATAGTACTATAGTAGACACCCACCAACACCATCACCCACACACCCACCAACACAAACAGCCATACACCCACCAACACAAACACCCACAAGTACAAATATCAACAAACTCACTGTCAGACTTACCCAAATTGTACAGAAGTGTGAGATTTGAGTGTAAACAGCTGACAGTATGGCAGTAAGTGACAAGGTTATAATACGTTCAGTTATGATTTTCCTGAAATGTATAAGTGGTAACCATATCGTCTCCCTTTCTCGCAGTTCTGTGTACATGCGGACAAACGCAAGATGTTGCAGGAACTGACGACGTCGCTTCACGTGCGTCCCAACAAGCCGCACGTGTTGTGGGAGCTGGCTCACTGCATCTCCTCCGCTGTCAACGCCGACGGATACAACCTCTACCTGGTGGACAGCGCCACCGCCACCCTACACCAATACATCGAGATCAAAGACGGGTTAGTAGGACGAACAGGGCTGGAGGGAGACCTTAGAGGGAGGAAAACGTGAGGGAGGCTGCAGGGTAGGCAGGGTGTGAGAGGACGTGGGAGGAGGCTGAGAGGAAGGCAGGGTGTGAGGGAGGACGCGGAGTGGACAAACTGTAGAGTTATGTGAAAACAGGTGAACTGAGGTGAAAGGGAGATAAAGAGACGGGAGAAGATGAAATAAAGGAGTGGGGGTGACTTAAGGTTTTTGATGATTGGGGAATGAAGGTGGAATGATAGAAAGGGGTGAGTAAAGGGCGGAAAAGCGTGGCAGCTAAGGGGTTTAGGGGTTGCTGTAGTTTAACTTAACTTTATTGGCAAAGCTTGGAGTAAAATTTTTGTCTGTTGTGAGTAATTCAGTCAGGTCTTGACGTTGAGGGTGCTATCGTTGTTCACTGCCACACAGGACAGAGGTTCATACACAAAGGGGATAACAGTATAGTGTATAAGTCACCTTCATAGTATAGGTCATATTCTTATTTATTTGTCTACTCTTTTTCTTCCTTTCTCTTGTTTTTACAATCTCTGTCATGTTATTTATTTTATTTTATCTTATCTCCCCTTTACTTAGTCTCTTATTATTTCTGTTTATCTAACTATTTTTGATTTTGTAGATAGAGAGAAGAGAGTGAAGGAGAAGGTTACCCCTCCCGTCTCCCCTCGCTATAAAAGAGGGCGAAGGAGAGAGAGGATAAGATTATATAAGGACTAGGAGAAACATACAATATCTTGCTTACCAGGGATAATGTGTGAGAGTTGCGTTATTACTGAGTCACTACATCACTTAAAGTATTCAGAGTTCACCATTAAACATTCACTCGGGAGGAGGGGGGGGGGTGAATAATGTGAGATCACCTTTATTATCTTATTTACTCATTCCGCCATCTTCCTCTACGTTGTCAGGGCAGAGGTGAAAAGCCCCGGGTCGTGGAGTTGTGACATCGGCACCGGGTCGTGGTTATGTGCCTGGGTGGCCAGCACACGACACGCCGTCCGCATCACCAACCCCAGCAACGACCCCAGGTTCCCCCGAGGCTGTCCTTTCGCTGAGGTAGGTCGTCCTTCATCTATCCAGGTCATCGTTTTGTCATGGTTGCCCTTCATGTAGGTCATCCTTCACCCAGGTCATTTTTCACCTAGGTCAATCGTCATCCAGGTATAAAAGCAGTACAGTCTTGCTCACCTAAACACTTGTTAAACCAATACGTGAAACAGGTCTCATTAATCCGCCAGAAATACCCTCACAAACAACCAATCACAAACACTATTCATCCTTCACTCTTCATTAACAACAATTTCCACACCGTAAACATAGAGATTTATTTCCAGGAGTTCTTGACGCTGTCCTCACACCAACCAGACAAAAACAAACACAATAACCAGTTATTTTCACCGAGATTTCTTTTAAGATTAGGATTTCGTGTTTAGGTTTTCATTTGATTGTTGTGGAGTGAGTCTCGTGGGGACTATTTATCTCACTTGTCGACATAGGTTTAGGTAACACTTTTGACAGATTAGGTAAGATCATGTCAAGTGTGTAAACAATCTCAGATGCTTAAGTTGACGTTGCGTGAGTGAACAGAATCGCCCCATTCACTCATTAGATATATATGATTCTTACCTACGAAATTAAACAGACAAACGGCATGAAAAATTAAATACAAACTCCTCTAGTCTAGAATAAATTAAACTAGCATTATATTTAAACACGAAATGACGGTCAGGTCGTAAACCCACAATAGAGCTATCGAACCCTGATCCCCTTGTGGAGTTAACGGAGTCTTATTTCTTAGGAATGAAACCTGATTGATATCATACTTTGTAATAGTTAATATATTTTTTAACTTGTAAAAAAAATGCACATCAATTTACCAGGTTTTACGAGAAATGTGTCTCTTTAATTGGTGTTTGAGAGAGTAGTCATGAACAATCGAAAACTAAAAGTTGATCGTCCCCGTCTTGTGCTGCTGGCTGGCCGGGACCTGGAGAGAGCCCAGCGCACACCTCCTCACCCAGCACAACAAAGACCAGTAACCCGGTTTATATTATCAAGTGTCTTTTGGTTAATTTTCCCATAATTGGTGTTATCTGAACGCTTCTCTGTAGTCTCACTTAAGCTCCAGAACAAAAACCTGAATTACAATAGCATCGAAATGGTAAAGAGACTTGACTGGGAGGGAAGAGTTGCCTTTGTTTCTAGTCAGGAGAAATAGTTAAAGAACGAAGCCTTGGGAATCCTTACACAGCACAGAGGAGAGGGATTATTCCATATGGATCCCTGTGAAGAAGAGACCCAGTTCCTGGAAAATATTAAGATGTTGTCAACAGGTGAGTCTTTTGTTCTAAACCCTGAAGAGAAGAGGACGAGTGTCTTTGAGAAGGTTCAAAGAGGAACTTGTTGACGGAGTGTAAAGGTTTGGGTGATGTGCAGGACTTTGCGTTGATAGTGACACTTTCTTTGACAATAAAGTGACAGTTTGTGTTAAAGGGGGAACATAGAAAAAAAGTGACACTAACAGAAATAGTTCATAATAGGTGAGATTGGCATAAGTGATAATTGTTATTTGTTAATCAAGTGGCTTTTGATGATAAAAAGTGGTAATTGATAAAAAAGGGATATATTTTGATAAAGAAATACAATTCGACTTGAAAGGGACACTTACAAATCAAAGTGTCCCTTAGAGATAATAATAGCACCTTAGATCTAGAAGTGCCTCTTTTAAGTTGCAGGAGACAACCACTTTTACCATCTGATTAGAATTCACTTGGAAATGTCAAAGTCACGTAGATAATCCTCACCCACAGTAAATAGATCTCCAGACTGAGTGTAGGACCTGTCTATGCACACTTACTCATCCACTTAAGTGAGTGTAGAACCTGTGTTGGTAAGTTTCTACTTCAACATACAATGTGTAACAAGTGTATTGATGTATATTTCACATTGTTTCCTTTAATAATCTGCATGACAATTATATTGTGAAGATCGTATCAGATATTATAATCATTAGTCTGTCTGTGTTCGTTAGGCATTTGTACAAATTTGCAGAGCTGAATTTTATAGAGGGGTCAAGTGGCCGTGTAACTTATTATTATTATTATTATTATTATTATTATTATTATTATTATTATTATTATTATTATTATTATTATTATTATTATTATTATTATTATTTTGCCTGGCCTCTTTCCGCCCCTGTATCAATATTTCCTCTAAACTATTACTTCTCAAGAATAAACTAAGCCGTTTTTCGACCAAAGTTTAGCAATAAATATCCTGGCGGCATGAAGTTCGGATGAAGTTGCTATCCCTTCAGAGGCTGTGAGGAGAAGGAGGAGGCTAGGAGACTATCAAACACTTACAGCAGTGGTTCCCAAACTTTTTCTGATCATTACCCACTTTTCATATATGATCCTTATCCATGGCCCCCCTCTCCCAATCCATATCTCTGGCTGGCTCAGCTGCTGACTGGCTGTTCTAGTGTGGTGGGGCTTGGGATTTTTATGTGTACATGTACATAGCCTCAGCTTATGGCCCCTAAATTTTGCTGGGGGGCCATAGCCCCCCAGTTTGGGAACCACTGACTTACAGGGTTGGGTTTCGTTTTCGTTTTAGTCCCGCACCTCCCGTGACTCTAAACTGTATTTACTGAACCCTGCCACTTCCTATGCTGATTTTCACCATAATTTCACAAGTTTACAATAATGTTCCTCTTTTTACATCACCGAATTAGCAATAAATGTATTAACTGAAAATATAAAGTGAAATTTAGGATTGATTGGTTAAGAATTAGTAGACTTACCTGAGCAGAGGTTACTGGTAGGGGGGGGGGGGAGGGAATTGCCATATTATCACACTGTTCTACCAGCTACCGAGTCTGGCTGGCCACTGGTTGCTCAGTGGCTGGTGGGCGTTTGGTTGGTGAGTGTGTTGTGTTGTGTTTACGAAGCTATATCAGCACCCACGTAACCCCAGACAACGTGATCTGGCAAATAATAAGACTGGTGTGTAAACTACAGGTGAGGTCAATAGGTAGGAACTTATGAGTTTTATGGTGATGTTTACTCGCTGCCTCTGGCCACCTGCTGGGCTCTCTAACAATCGAACTACTTGTTAGACCAAACCAAACAATGTTCGATATTATGGCAGGACAACTCTCGCTCTCTCTGTTGCGTATGTTTGTTTGTCACTGTAAAATATTCTAATATATACCACCGTCTTTGTTTACATCCTAAGAGGCGAATTTCCTAACTGTAATAACCTTATATACAATTTCTTAGGCATCACCAGCCAAGCGTGCACTGTCTGTCATTTTGGCAATGTCCGAGAACAGCATTACCACCAGAAGGAGTTGTATACAATTTCCTTCATTTTTTTCCACAGATTTTCTTATCATTATTTTAAGAGCCCCCCCCTCTCCCCACCTCCCGCTCGGCTAGGAAGTTAGGTAAAGTTAGGATGGTTTCTTTGGGTGGATAGGTCAGATTCTATTAGGATCTAGTAATTCGCCGCTGTGAAAAAAATGAGAGAAACCGAACAACTTCTGGTGGTTAGTGCTGTTCTCAGACATTACCAATTTGTTCAACATAAGTCAAAGTAAGTGAAAGAAATCAAGGTTATTCCTTACTACGCTGGTACCGTGGTGATTGAACATATACCAGGGTGATTGATAGCTGTGCCGTGGTGATTGAACATATACCAGGGTGATTGATAGCTGTGCCGTGGTGATTGAACATATACCAGGGTGATTGAACATATACCAGGGTGAGTGATAGCTGTACTGTGGTGATTGAACATATACCAGGGTGATTGATAGATGTACCGTGGTGATTGAACATATACCAGGGTGATTGAACATATACCAGGGTGATTGAACATAGACCAGGGTGATTGATAGCTGCACTGTGGTGATTGAACATATATACCAAAGTGATTGATAGCTGTACCATAGTGATTGAACATATACCATGGTTAAAGATAGCTGTACCATGGTGATTGAACATAGACCAGGATGATTGATGGCAGCACTGTGGTGATTGAACATATATACCAAATTGATTGATAGCTGTACCGTGGTAATTGAACATATACTAGGGTGATTGATAGCTGTACCGTGGTGATTGAACATATACCAGGGTGATTGATAGCTTTACTGTGGTGATTTAACATATATACCAAAGTGATTGATATCTGTACCTTGGTGATTGAGCATAAACCAGAGTGATTGATAGCTATACCGTGGTGATTGAACATATACCAGGGTGATTGATAAACTGTACCATATTAAATTTCAGGAGCAGGAGGTACACCACACGTTGTCCATGGTAGTGGTACAGAGCAACGGGGAACTGGCGGCTGTTTTGGAACTGTACCGTCGACAAAGTGGCGAGAATTTCCACGAGGAAGATGAGGAGATAGTGAACTCATACCTGGTGTGGGGTGGTATCGCTCTTCACTACGCTGAGCTCTACCACAGTATGGTTAAACAACGGACACTTAACGACTTCATCCTCTCCGTCGTCAAGTGAGTCTGTTTTGTTTTTTATCTTTTAGTTCTCTCGTGTATCACAATTTATCTTCGTTCCTTTGTGACTTATTTTTATTGTTTTTGTTTTCTATATTTTCTTTGTTATTAGTTTTTTTTTTGTTCTTATCTTTGTTTGTAAGTTATTTATTTTTCATGTTATTATTATGGTGTTGTGAGTTGTTTTGTCAGTTTGTGATGGTGTCAGTAAATGTTGTCTGTATGATGGTGTCAGTATATGGTGGTGTTAGTATATGATGGTGTCAGTATGTGTTGTCAGTATATGATGGTGTCAGTATATAGTGGTGTCAGTGTATGTGACGGTAGAGAGACCCCGCTAGGAGTCAGCACTTGTCAAGCTTCAACTAATTACCTGCCATCACCTGACCACGCCCACCTCCCAGGGGCATGTGTGAGAGAGAGAGAGATGGTTGATGGAGATGGTGGTACAATCACAAGAGGTGTGTGTGTGTGTGTGTATGTAACAGTGATACAACGTGCAAACAAGGTACAGGTAAACAATGGCGTAGCAGAAAGACAGGTGAGAAAAAATAATAATAATAATCCTCAGGTAAAAATATGTATTCAGGTCGTCGTCTCTCATCCCACCTCCTCCGTATCCCGCTTTAATCAGCTGTTCCCCTGAAAGTAATCATCTGATTTAGGTAAATATTAATAGATCCCCCGCCATGTTAACCTGCAGGGGCCACCATACTACACGCCGTCGAGATGGAAGTTCTTCCTCTGATACTGATTAAACTTTTATTATTATTATTATTATTATTATATTTATTATTATTATTATTATTATTATTATTATTATTATTATTATTATTATTCAGCTAAGATGGCGATGGGACTTTTTGTGCACATTTGAAATTAATTAGTTATTTTTGATAAGCGCTGACAGGTGCATTTGAAATTTTGTTACAGTCTGTTTAAACTTCTTTCATCTACTGTTATTTTGAGTTATTAAGGAAAATTATGTTGTTTATTTAATGTATGTTATTCCCTTTGTTATTTTCCTTGATTTGTGTTATTCATTTATTATTTTTCCTTGTTTTGTGTTACTACTTTAATGTTATTTTTCTTAATCTGAATTACTGTTGTAGTTCTGCTAAAATCCCTACTGATCATAGCTGCTACACATAATTAAACTTGAACTAATAGATGTTAGAGTTTGTGATGCTGAGAGTCGCGTGTGTGTGTGTGTGTGTCCGACTCTGCTTCCACCAATATTAATTACTATTCAGTGCATCCCTCACATAGCTCTGACTCAGTCCCTTTGATGCCAACTTTGACGGGTTGGCTCTGAGTATGATGTATATTGTACTTCCATGTTAAAATGGCATAAATCACGGGGATCATAGGGCGTGAACACATTTATTTAACACTATGTACCTATACGTTTGGGCTCTTTACTTCTTATTATTTTCACTCCCCTGGGTAGGTTAGGTTGGGTTAGGTTAGGTTAGGTTAGGTTAGGTTAGGTTAGGTTAGGTTAGGTTAGGTTAGGTTAGGTTATGTTATGTTATGCTCTTTTACTGCTATGAAGAAGGGAATGAAATTAACATGAGGTAATACAGTACTGCAGATCTTTTAGGTTAAGTTAATTAACTCTACGTGTTTTCTAACCAATCTGACCTAACCTGACCCGACCTAATATATGTTATGATGGTAAATGGCGTCTTTAAAGGAAACAGTAAGGTTAACTTTGTCATAACTACTTCACTAGACAAATGGGGACCTTTAACTTCTGTTCTTAATTTAAAAAAGTAATTAGAACGATGTGTCATTACCTAATTTATCATTGTAATTAATTGGGAGATGACCTTTAATTATAGGTCGGGTTAAAAGTCATTTGGTATAATTAATGAGGCGACCTGCACCTTCTCAAACTACCTGCAGACTCAGACACATACAAGGGGTGTGGTATAGTCTGACTTGGGACTTTCAAACCACACTGTAGGTCACCATACACACGACACTGTAGGTCACCATACACACCACACTGTAGGTTACCATACACACCATAATGCAGGTCACCATACACACCACACTGTAGATTACCATACACACCACGAGCGAGGTCACCATACACCACAATACAGGTCAATATATACACCACACTCCAGGTCACCAAACACACCACAATGCAGATCAGGCACCATACACACCCCTGCAGGTCACCATACACCACACTGTAGGTCACCATACACACCACACTGTAGATTACCATACACACCCCTGCAGGTCACCATACACACCACGATGCAGGTCACCATACACACCACACTGTAGATTACCATACACACCCCTGTAGGTCACCATACACACCACACTGTAGGTCACCATACACCACAATACAGGTGACCATTTTATCTGACACTATATTGTTTTTTTCTCAACACTATCACCAGCAATTTCATTTCCATAATTGCCAAAAGTGATCACCATTCTGGACTCAAAGCACACCGTGTCTTGTTCGCCATTGTACCTGTTGATTTGATTAAGGGACCGTGCAGACAGGTGCCGGATATTGGGAGTTGAAGATGACTCTGTGTGTGTGTATGTGTGTGTGTGTGTGTGTGTGTGTGTGTGTGTGTGTGTGTGTGTGTGTGTGTGTGTGTGTGTGTGTGTGTCGTGAGTTTGATGGAATAAATTGATTAAATCATAACGGAAATAAAAGACAAATTAATGTATATTTAGATGGAGGTGTTCAGTTATACACTAATCCCAGGCTGTTGTATTGTTGCTTGTGTATTCGTTGTATTATTCATTCATTACTGGGACTTGTATTTTCCAGATGAAGACACAAAAGTTCTGGAAGGTTTTAAAAAATACCAATAATCTCTTTTTTTTTTTTTTTATAAGGTTCTTCTTGCTTCTCTTATTAATGTCTTCGTAACTCGTGTGTGTGTCCTTGCGTTTCCAGATCCATCTTCCAGGACATGGTCAGTATGGATACGCTTATAATGAAGGTCATGAATTTCGCTCAGAAGTTGGTCAGTGCGCACCGGGCATCTCTCTTCCGTCGACGCCAAGAACAGGCAACTCTACGCCAGAATATTCGACATGGGTAGTGAGTTCGACGAAGACAATCCTCCACAGGCCTTTAAGGAGATCAGGTGAGAGGCGAAGGAGGTGTGAGGGAGTGTGGTGTTAGGAGAGATGGTGTTAGGGGTGGTGTGAGGGAGTGTGGTATAAGGAGAGATGGTGTTAGGGGTGGTGTGAGGGAGTGTGGTATAAGGAGAGATGGTGTTAGGGGTGGTGGAGGGAGTGTGGTATAAGGAGAGATGGTGTTCGGTGGTGGAGGGAGTGAATAAGGAGATGGTGTTAGGGTGTTGAGGGAGTGGTATAAGGAGAGATGGTGTTAGGTGGTGTGAGGAGTGGAATAGATGGTGAGGAGAGATAGTGACAAGATGTGGTGTAAGGACAGATAGATAGTGATGGGGCGGTGTGAGTTAAGATATGAATGGTGATGCACAAGAGATAGAATTAATATAGAGGGGCATTAGTGGGAGCATTTAGAATCAGGCTTTTCTGTTTATCTGTTAGTTAGTTACGTTCAGGAAGATTTTCAGATTCAGAATTACCGTCGTATATTACTATGGCAAATGGATATCGGCACATTAATGACAAGGTATATTAATCAGTGTCCTAAGGAGTGGCTTTCACTGGACACAAAAACAATACGTGACTCCTAGGACCAGTGTTGATGCCACAGGGTTTACAGGTGTTTGAGTGAGGCTGGTCGTCAACTAAACCTCACGCTCTCTCTCGTGTATACAGTGAGCTGGCGAGTGTACCGGGCAGGTGTGTGTAACTTCCTCTACCGTGTTGATGAATATGGTAGAGTTTATTAGTAATGATAGACAACGAATACACACACACACACACACACACACACACACACACACACACACACACACACACACACACACACACACAGATAAACCTGTAAGCTCTTAAACAACAGATTACAAGACACAAACACAATTAGATAACAGAATAAAAAGACAGATACTCAACTAAGTCAGCAGACAACTACCTGCGACAGACAGACAGACAGACATTAAGAAAATACTTGAGGTAGGTGACTTTAAACAAGAGGGGGCAGCGTTCCTCCGCCAACACTGTCACAGTTTCATCATGCCTAGTGGTGATGAAGGCGGAAATTGGTTGACTTTGTAACATATATGACCTCTTAAGTTTGTATGAGTAGGGGTTATTACTGGAGGGGGGGAGTGTGGTGGAGAGATGAGTGGGAAGGAGTGAGAAAGAGGGTGAGAGAGGAGAAAGTGGGGTGAGAAAGAGGGTGAAGGAAGAGTGTGAGAAAGAGGTCGACAGCTATTCCTTAGACATTATTTATCAACTGAGAAAGGATGATAAGACTTCAGTGGCTGGTTCATCGTCAGGTCTTGTGTAGAATCCAGAGTTTTTCCCAGTGCCATCCTCAATAAACAGAGTGCTTCACCTCCTGCCCCCAAACCAATTAATGGCTGTATTAATATGGCTTATTTTGAACTATGTCTGCGTCCTTCAGAATTTTTGGATCACCTGAAGATATGTATTCCTTTAACATATTCCACCTGAAGATTAACCACCCTGATATTAACTTAACATTAACATTAACCTTACCTTACCTTACCTTACCTTACCTTACCTTACCTTACCTTACCTACCTTACCTTACCAACACCCATCCGTCAAGTCGTGCCTCGGTGGTCAATCTTCAGGGAGGTGGGTATAGTGTAAGCTGGGGAACAAATTATCAGGTGATCAGAAGGTTATTTTAGGCACTTAGGGTATCAGAACCTATTTTAGGCCAAAAGATCGTTAGAAGAAAAGTACCTGTATGTCACTGTGGTAATAAACACTCAGGTTATGTCATGATTCTTCTCGCTCACATGTTAGGGATTGTTTGGTGTCTCGTGTCGGGCAAATAATGTTTTTTTGAGGGGGAAGGCAAGTGGCCAAAAATATTCAGTTTGTCTATTAAAATCCTAAGTTGTTAGCCAATTCTTCCTCCAGTTGTTCTAATTTGTAGCCAATGGCGTCACCTGTGTGTGTGTGTGTGTGTGTGTGTGGATGGATTTACACATGTACAGTATGTCCCTACAGGTTACACATGTGTGTACTTTTATATCTTCGTACCTACACATGTGTTCTCCCATGCTGGTTTACCACTTTATTGGCCCGAGTTCTAATCTCTCTTCTGGAGGCAGCACGTGATTGATATCGACCGTGCCACCTCCCCCCTCCTCTACCACGGACATGTCGTAAAAGCCGAGCTGGTCCTCAAATATCCAGAAAAATAGGGGGATATTGGAGACGTATCTCTCCTATCTCGACGTGCATGTGATGTGTGATGCTAGGGGAGAGACAGAGGGGGAGATAGACAGACAGAGAGAGACAGACAGATAGACAGAGAGACAGAAAGATAGAGAGATATCTAATATGGTCACGGCAGAGCCTGTAAGGACTTCCATCAAATTCCTTGTCCTTCTAAATGTAGATTAAGCTACTAAATGGAAGAAATATGAAATCCAAAATGATCTCCGTGAAGGCACTGGGGAAAAAAAGATACATTGGTTTTCACGTGAGCTTTAACAATAAGATTTCGTCAGTTTGCCCATCACCCAAGAATTATGAATTACAATACTAAAACTGGGCTGATGTAACACTATAATAAACGAATTACAAAAGGATAAGAGTATTTGCATACAGTATATTGTGAAGGGTATGTGAACGAAGTAGAGAGGATGGCATACTTGGAGGAGGATGATGGCTGAACTGCAGGATATATTTGTTAGTTTCAGTGACGTACAATCCAAGAGAAAAGATTAAGAGATTTTGTTGACAATAGAAGAACTTTTGATTCTCTTAAATCTTCATTTCATGTTTGATTGACTGTTTGTTCCCATCATGTTAGCACCAGATAAATAAGAGCTGAGGGAATAGATTTAATGTTTATGAAAGTGTCATCACATATTGGTGTTGTTACAGTGATTGGGACAACACATGCTTGAGTTAATGTGCCATAGAGTGTCAAATAGTCCTTGTCTGCTATCATTACTGTAATTAGGATACAAGGAGATACAGCATTGTGTTGTCGGGTCGAATAATATGAAAACATCGTTACTCAAAGACTCTGTGTGTTAAGAGACTAACTTTGTACGAGGGCAAAAAGGAGATGTTTTGAATGACACTTACGATGAGGCTCAGACTAGATAATTAATACTTTAAGTTAGGTTTATCTAGACTGGGTTAAGAAAGAGATTGTTCGTTTAACTTGATTAATGTGTAAGTATTGTGATAAAGGATCAATTAACAATAAACAAATAGTCTGGTTATTTAACTGTGAGAGAATTGATGAAATTAACAAGGAGTATAAATTCATTGTCTCAAGAATATAATGTGTAGATGATATGTAAAGATCCCTGTGCATCTTTGAGGAAATAAACAAGTATGGATGAGAGTAGACGGTCTTATGGCTATTAAACTGTCCCCCACTTTAAGACAAGACTTCCTTTTAACCCGTCCCCTTCTGTCTTTTTTCTGTCCCTCTCCACAGGTTTCCCATTGGGACAGGTATCGCGGGAATCGTAGCTCAGAACGGCCAGGTGCTCAACATTCCCGACGCTTACGCTGACCCTCGCTTCAACCGTACAGTCGACCAGCTGACCGGCTACCTCACAAAGTCCATCCTCTGCATGCCCATCTTCATCCGCGGCAACGTCATAGGTGTCATGCAGATGGTGAACAAAGCCACCGGTGTCTTCAGTAAGGTGTGTGATGGCGGAAGGGGCTTGGAGACAGGTGGGGAATGGAAGAGAAAAGCTGGGGTTTGGAGGTGAGGGTTTTGAGAGATGGGGAATGGAGGGGAAGGGGGAAGAACTGGGGGTTGGGTGGATTGAAAAGGAGGGATGAGAGCTTGAGAGAGCTTGAGAGAGAGAGAGAGCTTGAGAGAGAGAGAGAGAGAGAGAGAGAGAGAGAGAGAGAGAGACGATACATGTATGATGGGAAAGAGGATTAAGGGAAGGAATGAGGAAGAAAGGAGTAAAGGACTGAAGTGGGACAGAGTAGTAGGAGGAGGACGGTGGAGAGCTGTGCATCCGTTTTACTAAAGCCTCACCATGGTTGTGTTTCACCTCGCTCATTCACTTTCTGCTCGGGGTTGTGCTTTATGCTGATGTTTGTCGCTTTTCGTTTAACTTTTTGTCTTTGTCATGTTTCATATACCACATGTCATGTTTCTCTCATTCAGTACCACATTTCTTCTACCACCTGTCGTGTTTCACCCTCCACCTTCCGTGTTTCACCCTCCACCTTCCGTGTTTCACCCTCCACCTGCCGTGTTTCACCCTCCATCTGCCGTGTTTCACCCTCCATCTGTCGTGTTTCACCCTCCACCTGTCGTGTTTCACCCTCCACCTGTCGTGTTTCACCCTCCACCTGTCGTGTTTCACCCTCCACCTGCCATATTTCACCTCCACCTGTCGTGTTTCACCCTCCACCTGCCATGTTTCACACTCCACCTGTCGTGTTTCTCCACCTGCCGTGTTTCACCCTCCACCTGTCGTGTTTCACCTCAATCTGCCATGTTTCACCCTCCACCTGTCGTGTTTCACCTCCACCTGCCATGTTTCATCCTCCACCTGTCGTTTCACCCTCAATCTGCCATGTTCGTCGTGTTCACCCCTACACCTGTCGTGTTTCACCCTCCTGCCGTGTTTCACCTCCACCTGCCGTGTTTCACCTCCACCTGTCCACCTCAATCTGCCATGTTTCACCCTCCACCTGTCGTGTTTCACCTCCACCTGCCACCTGTCTCACCTCCACCTGTCGTTTCACCCTCCACCTGTCGTGTTTCACCTCCACCTGTCGTGTTCCCCTCCACCTGTTTCACCCACCTGTGTCGTGTTTCACCCTCAATCTGCATGTTTCACCCTCCACCTGCCGTCGTGTTTCACCCTCCACCTGCCATGTTTCACCTCCACCTGTCTGTTTCACCTCCACCTGCCGTGTTTCACCCTCCACCTGTCGTGTTTCACCCTCAATCTGCCATGTTTCACCTCCACCTGTCGTGTTTCACCTCCACCTGCCATGTTTCATCCTCCACCTGTCGTGTTTCACCTCAATCTGCCATGTTTCACCTGTCCACCCTCCACCTGTCGTGTTTCACCTCCACCTGCCGTGTTTCACCTCCACCTGTCAACCTGTCGTTTCACCTCAATCTGCCATGTTTCACCTCCACCTGTCGTGTTTCACCCTACACCTGTCGTGTTTCACCCTCACCTGCTCCACCTCCACCTGTTTCACCCCTCCACCTGTCGTGTTTCACCTCCACTGCCATGTTTCACTCACCTGTCGTGTTTCACCTCCACCTGCCATGTTTCACCTCCACCTGTCGTGTTTCACCCTCACCACCTGTCGTGTTTCACCCCTCCACCTGTCGTGTTTCACCCTCCACCTGTCGTGTTGTTTCCACCTCCACCTGTCGTGTTTCACCTCAATCTGCCATGTTTCACCCTCCACCTGCCATGTTTCACCCCTCCACCTGTCGTGTTTCACCCTCCACCTACCTGTCGTGTTTCACCCTCCACCTGCCGCCGTGTTTCACCCTCCACCTGCCGTGTTTCACCTCCACCTGCCATGTTTCACCCTCCTGCCATGTTTCACCTCCGTCGTGTTTCACCCTCCACCTGCAATGTTTCACCCTCCATCTGTCGTGTTTTTACCTCCACCTGCCGTGTTTCACCCCTCCACCTGCCGTGTTTCACCTCCACCTGCAATGTTTCACCCTCCACTGTTTCACCTCCACTTGCCGTGTTTCACCTCCACCCTGTCGTGTTTCACCCTCCACCTGTCGTGTTTCACCCTCCACCTGTCGTCTTTCACCTTCCACCTGTCGTGTTTCACCCTCCACCTGCCATGTTTCACCCTCCACCTGTCGTGTTTCACCCACAGGAGGACGAGGAGTCATTTGAGATGTTCGCTATCTACTGCGGACTGGCGCTGCACCACGCCAAGTTGTACGATAAGATACGACGCTCTGAGCAGAAGTACAAGGTAAGATCTCTCTCCCCAACACCCTTCACCACTCCTTCCCTTCTCTGCCCATCCTATCTGGGCATGCCTTGTTCTCTCCCTTGGGGCATACCTACCCATTTCTCTTCCTTGATGAACACCCTCTTCTCGGCCTCAGGGGCATTCTCCCACCTTAGTGCACTTCCTTACTGTATTACACTTCCTGCCTTGGGATGATGATAAAGAATTCCAAAAGTATCCAGTAATTTTAAACAACTAAAGTTGAAGTCTGGATAAATATTGTTTTATTTATGTCTGGTCAAGTTTCATTTCCACTGTTTAGAAACCAATGTTCACCTAGTCTCGGCACACTCATATCCTGCAGTGCAGTATATACTACTTCAATTTGATCTAGGGTCTGTAAACCCATGAAAGGTTCACGGTGAGCTTTTGTCAACATCTCTATTGGTATTTCCCAGAAATATTTGTGCAACTTGTAAATATAATACAACAAAATTCTAATGAGGTGTAAAAATTTTTTGCTTAATACCTACACAAATATTATTAAAAAAAAGGAGTGCCCTTTGAGGTCTTGTCTTTGGTGTTGCATTGATTTACCTCTTGAAGGACTCTTGCTCTGAATATCAAGAGATACATAGGTAAAAAATGTCAGTTCCCATTTAGTGTGCAGCCACAATGTTGATGTTGGAAGGTACATTTTTTTTTTAGGGACTTGTCAGAAGGACGTTGGTCACATTGATCTGTTGCTTTGTCCCTTGTAGTGCGCTGTCCTTTCACCGCTGATGAGTCTGGGCAACACTAGTGAAGATGAGGGAATGAAATGTTTCAAATCATGTGATTGGCTAAGTGACAGGCATCAGCATTTTTCATATAACTTTGGTTAGATTTAACCCTTAGGCCCCGTGTGATGTTCCAGAACGTCCGCCTATTTTCCCGCCTTTTTTTATATTTATTTTTATATATTTATTTATTTCTTAAAGGTTTTTTTTTCTTGATTTATCCCCGCGTTGTACTACCATCATCACCCTAACCCGGGACTTAAGGGTTAAGGATATAACACCAAGAGCCAAGAAACAGACACAATTTAGATCAGGCTGCATACAAGCAGCGATAGAAGGCACTGTATACAAGCAGGGAGACCACATCTGTAAAAAAATCATATCTGGTAACTTCACTTGGAAAATGCAATGCTGGGTGACCAAAAATAGTAATGTAATAATACAGTTTGATTATCAAGGTAGGCTGAAAGCCCTGAAAGGACTACTCTTCAAATAAAACATGACAGGATGATCCTCTCATACATCAAAGCCGGTACCCGAAAAATTCCGGGGATGGGGGATTTTTTCCGGGTTTGAGAGATGAAATAATGCATCATTCTGGAATATTCAGAGAAAATTCCAGTACCTTGAAAAATTCGGGGGATGGAAGATTTCTTTCTGGGTTCAAGAGATGATGTAATATGCAGTTTCTGGAACTTCCGAGAAAATTTTCCCGGTAGCCAAAAAATTCCGGAAAATTCTGTGGATGAGGGATTTTTTCCGGCTTTGAGAGCATTGTCTCGTCACCTGGAAATCTCTCATTCCTGGAAGTGCTCTGCACCAATTGTCCCGGCCAATGGAGATATGACAGATATCACTGTATAATACCTGTACAGTACTCAAGTTGTAAGTCCTGTTGTAGGCTGGCAGACATTTTCTGTTGATATTCTCGTTCGTCAAAATAAAGGAGATGTTGTGAGGTGTTATGGACAGCTTTTCATTCTTTATGATAAAACAAAGATTGTGATAAGTTTGTTGCAGCAATAAGGCATGTCCCAGTTATCCCAATGAGGGTCTGTTGAAGTAACAATGTCTTGATCTCTTGAATGGTAAGTCCATCATGCAGCTAATATACTAAAAGCTGAGAGCATGAGGTTAAAAAGCACATTGTTCAGGAAAAATACATTGTGTGACATTACCTCTTGGCCAGTCCCTGCCTGTAATGTATGGTTGGGGTGTAATTCATGTGAAGTCTGCCATTGATCATTTCATGGGTCTTCCAATGTGTACTTTAATTAATATATAAGTTGCATCCCCTTTCAGGTAGCCCTTGAGGTGCTAAGTTACCACAACTCTTGCACAGATGATGAGTTTGAGACTCTTCAAGCAGACCCTTTAACGCAGGCACTGCCAGGTGTGGACGAGTAAGTAAAACTGTAACCCCAGTCACCGTAGCTAACCGTCTAGATGTGTCTGGCGCCGTACTCTTGATGTCTGTGGGTAATCACGTTTTCTTTCCATGCTTCTATCCAGGGATAACTAACCCATCTTCTTCCCTTCTTTCTTTGCAGGGCCTATTGAATTATACCAAGGAATGTTTATGCAAAATCAATTATTAAATTTTGTTTCATTTGTAACAATGAACGTTCCATGAAAGCACTTTAGAACATTTGAGAAATATTGGCAGTTTTGCCATTTTGTGGGTTGATAAATTAGTCATCACATTTCAACATGGAATGAAAACATTGCTTTGTTGTTTCAAAGGCTACTGCTAAGCCCTTCTGTCGGTTCTTACCTCCCAGTTCACATCACCTGTATCCACTTAACTTCTAAATAGCTCCTTCCTTGTCAACTTTTCCAGGTAGCTCTGGAAATGATGAGCTACCACAGCAGTTGTGGGGAAGACGAACTTGGCTTGTTGTCAAGGGAGGAAGTGCCCAATCAGTTGGCTGGCGTGGATAAGTAAGTACAGGACAGGGACAGGTGATGAGGTTGCGTTCGACAATTAGGTAAAGAGCTAAGGCTCTCGGGAGTTGTGTCTACTTTTATTTTTAATGAAAAAGTTAAAAGCAGTAATTAGTAAAAATATAAAATAATAAAGCCATTACATATTGTCCCTCTTGAATTTCCTTTAGTATGGTATTTTACTTGTGAGGGAGTTGGTGAGACCTCTGCAAGGTACTGGAATATTCCTTGTGGATGGTGTATGCCACTAACAGAGTAAATCAATTGTCTAACGCAGCCTTACATTGGCTAATCCCCCATATTAAGGGAAATAGCGCAGTAACTCTCCTAGCTTATGAGGATCATGTTGCAGGGATCGTGGGGATGTATGAAATAGCCTGGACATTTATTTATGCTCTACTAGGCTAACTTTTCCTTCTTTGAATTATTTAATTAGTGGGTTTTAGTGTCTAGATCCTGTTTATCTTTTTGTAAATAAACTTTTAATGCAACTAGTGGGCTTTTCCTTTTAATTAGCATTTTTGACCATTAGTGGGCTTTACACAGCTAGAAGACACCAGCTATCATCCATCACTAGGCAATCCTTGCTATATTGGGCTTAAGTTAGAGGTTTATCAAATGTAAAGCCTTTTGCAACTATTAGTGGGCTTATCTTTCCATTAGTGGCTGACCCAAGTAATTGCAGAGCTGAACATCTCAAAATCCTGCCTCTAATTTAGAGGTTGCAAGTCAAATCAACCACAGTCCTAATAGGGTTCAGTCTGTCTTACCCTAACCATTAAGATTGGGGCTCATTAGAATTACGGTCCATTAGAATTCAGGATCCCTTAGGACTGGTGTTAGGTGAGATTAAGGTCCAGTACGAATTCAGCCTATTATGACTGGAATCCCATTTGACCAGTCACCTAATGCAGAAATGCTTACTCATGCTCAACCAAGCTTACCCGGTGTACAGTACAGCTTAAACTCCCAGTGTGATAAAGGATGATTGCATACAGATTACCAGTGGCACTGAGTCTGGCACGGTCCTGCTCTTTTTATGTCAGTGGTGAAGTAATGCAATTTTCTAAGTACTTGTCTTGCACAAACCAGAATTGCTTGGAATTTATAGTGTTCAGAAATAGGTTGCAGCACAACCAGTCACAGGAGTACAACACCACAAGTATATAACTAAGGATGATGTTCTGTCTCCCACTATTAACACCAAACTTACCTTACTGTGATCGAGTCATGCAAACTGGTTAATGTTGGAAAGTACAGTGAAGAGGACGACTAATCTGTTTTATTTAATAGACAACACCAGCCTAACCTAATTCTAACTGTTTCAGTATTGTTAGATTTCGTTTAATTGGTTTGTGTCGTCTAAAAATAGGTAATTTAGCTGTCCTTATCAATTTTTATTTATTGTTGTACATTTTATGTAGTGCAGGGATTTTATATCAGTACCAAGGTACTGACTGATGAGGGTTTTACTGTTTGACACAGGGAAGGTTCTGCATCCTTGCCTAACATCATGTGGTTCTCATTACAGAATTGTATATATAAAACTAAATCATGTGATAGTCTATCTAAATATACCAGCATACAATAAGTACTAGATTCTAGCCCAATTTGTGCTTTACATGGTCTCGTGTACCATGTCACTTACCAAATGTCAAATAATGTCCAGGCAAAATGCAACTTCTATGCAGTACTACCATTTTCTTGGTGATTAGCAGAGGAAACAACTGCACAGTTCATTATGTATGGTGAAAATTAGCCTTCATACCTGGAACATGCTTGTAGGAGCATGTGCAGAAGAGGGGTCAGCCAGTAGCCTGATTTACTGAGCTGGTAGTGCTGTTTATCTGCTGAATGCCAACCCCCCAAGATTTCAGTCATAACAAACTGCATTGTCACATGAGCTCAAGATAATCTCAAATGCAGGCTTGGTTATACAATGAACTACAATCCACTCTGTACACTCACACATTAACTCTGAAAACATGTGTACTGCACTGTATTTATTTACGCAAAAACCACCGCATACATACAGTTTATTATAAACAAAATAATGAATATTACAATACTATGTACCATCGTGTTGAGCCTACAGTCAGGGAATACTGTCCAATCTCCTGAATATAATACGTAACTTTTTACGTCTTTTAACACTTTTGTTGGAGGTGTGGCCGGGGATTAATGGGTCACCTGTTACTGTTAGTGACCTGACCTGATGCAAAGTCAGGTCCACCCATTGTCAGGGTGGGGGATCAGAGCAAAAAAACTTCAGTCACAAACAGGGAAAACACTTCATAGTCAGACTGAAAGAACTTTTCAGTCACTAAAACAGAATACATGGTGAACTTTAGTGATGTCCCCTCACTGTAAGGTAAAAAAATAACACTGATGGTCACCGATAAACATTGAGCTACATTTCTTATACACATGTAACCAAGAAGAAGCAATGGCTGGAGTGTAGTTCACCAGATGGCCACGAGGCAGCATTCAGATAGATGACGTCTCGGCTGATGCATTCCATTTGCTGATTTGGCAAGTTGCAAATAGGGAAGTGGTCTTAATATATCCACATCATAAACACGGATTATCATAGATTGGGATATCGTAAATACCTGTAGAGGTTTACCTGTATTGTCCCTGAGGCACATATGTAACACTACCATTTTACTTAACATTTGTGAGTGACCTTGGCATCAAGGCCACTTCCTCATACCTGTTCTCCCTCTTCTCGTTACATTTAAGCAGCAAAACGAGATGCAGCCGTTAACGCGTGAGTGATAAAAATATTTCTGGAGATAGTCACTTCTGATGACTCGGGAGGTGAAAGTTGTCCACATCTGCAAAAAGTTATGACTATTGAGAAAGGACAACAGTTTAATCCATTGAGTGTTAGCCAGAATAAAATAACTACCTGCAACACTACTCCATAAAAGGTTAGTTGAGATAGATTTTAAATGTGTTAAATGGTAAAACCCTCAACAGTTAAGTGTGCAGTTCAAGCCAAGACCAATATTGCTAAGTGGTTTATTCTTAAACACTGAATAATCTTCCTTTATCACCGTCCCATCATATTGACCGTTCTACTCATTTCAACTACTGTACTCATGTGTTGGCTACTGTCTTCTCTAACTACAGTCAATATGTTTACTATCTCAGAGTTGTTGTAGATATGTGATCTGCTTACTGTAGGTGCTGCTGTAGTCTTTATATTGGTTTGTTTATGCTTTATACTGTTTACAGTCAAGTACTGTAGAGTAGACTTCATCTCACGTAGCATTAGTGAGCACAACCAGTCAACAGCTGAGACACTATTCATGTTTATATTTGGCTTGAAGTAGTTAATTAAGTTAATATTTTCTTGTTAATATTTTGGGTGATGTTGAAGTTAAGTATGATGGCAGCAGCGACGTGTGGTAGACGTTCGTTCTAACATTAAAGTCGGATTAAACAACTTGTTGCCTTTGAAATGGTACAACATTAGATAAATACCATATAAATGTGTCACAGAATGAGGGAAGTTACATAGACAGAATAAATAATTTCATGATTTTTTCTAGACTGAAATGAATCACCAATATGCACAATACAAAGTACTGTACAGGAGACTTTACCCCCAGATGTCTCCTAACTTATTAGGCTACCCCATAACCAGAGAGGTTCACCCTCCTACCTGTTGTCAAACCGCCGTGCTGCTCGCATTACCACCATTAAGTGTATAAAGGCCTTTTACAGTCATGTTTGTATTAATTAATCGACCAATGTCATGATGATGGCTGAATTATGTACCGTGTGGCAGCCTGTTTGATGTTCACCTTCCTTTTGTAGCTTAAGAGTCACAATGGTCCTCTAAATCTCAGTAAATCAGCAACAATACTTTTTCTTATATACACTTCAAGTCAGATCTTAAACAGTGTCCTTTACTCTATTTTAGTTAATCAGTTTACACACACACACACACACACACACACATGCACACACACATGCACACCAATAACATCACAGACAAAAGTAAGTAAATGTCTATGTTTAGGGTTTCCAGAAAGAAATTACCTAATCTCGCTTTTTTTATTATTAGTGAAATATGGAATAAGATGTCGCCTGAGTGAAAGTTCCGAGGAATAATCTTAGTTTAATGTGAATAGAGAAGGACTGACTGATTAATGAACACAGTGTAGGTGTAAACAATGTAATAACAACAGTTAACTTATGAGAAGATGAATATAAAGAGAATGAGAGATGGGAAAAGTGTACTGGCCTGTAGAATAAATGAATACCCCCTGTACAAGATGGTGTAAGTGAAAGTTTATGGCATAGATACAAGGAAAGAATTTGTTTGTTTAAATACACAGAGAGAGAATTGTACTAATTTATATCAGGTTTGTTGTGGATGAGGACAAGGATTCTGTACTATAGGAGGATGGTTCACTCAGTGTTAAAATTTTCATTCCCCTCGATGGTGGTGCTACTGGTGACTGGTGCTTGTAATCGACCGAAAAAGACGCACTGAGTTCTAGTGATTGCCACCTCGTGTACGCTTTATTTTTCTACCTTTTTGGGTAATCATAATTAGACATGCCACTAAGACTGAAGAAAGATATTGGAAAGCAGGGAGAATGGAAAAACACGTAGAGGTAAGAGAAAGGTGGGGGGAGAAACCACGCCTTGACCCTTGTTGCCTGCTGATGATGAGGTTTATTACAACTGGTAAAGGCCAAAATAATTCCAGTACTAACATATCTAACATATGCACACCACAGTCATGTCACGTAAAATGCCTCATTAATTTTATTCAAAGCATATCCCATCTACCATGTACAATAATTAGTGATATATAACTTTGAAGCTCTTTTTCTCGGATTTTTTTATCGCCAAATTATTGAGCTTTATACCACTAAGGCTCCACCAATTCTTATTCAATTTTATGAGTCTCGTTTTGTTTTATCCTCATACTTTTATGCACAACATGTGCATTTAGATATTTCTAAGTTGATTATTTTTCCTATTATATAGGTACTGTACATGATTTTTTCTTTGATCCAGTATATTACCATAATAACTAAACCATAAAGAAATACGGTATAGTACAATTTTACAGCCATATCCTAAATATTACCACCAAGAAATCTCAATACACAGATCCTAATAGCTACTGACTTTATTCATGGTAAAAAGCTGTCATATTTTATAAAAAAAAATTAACATTAAATTTTTATTACCTTTATTTTGTGATATACAGGTACTGTATATGATTAAAAAAATTCCAAGATATGCCAAGATACAAGATTCACAATTAAGGGTAAAAAAAATCATTATCCTAGCCTTTTGTTTTGTCTCATCCAAGAACAAAAGCGAGTTTACATCCTTAGGGGAATAAACTCTTCAGTAGTAGTGGTGGTGATAGCTACTTCTTACACCAGTTTTGCAACATTTAATAGGAAAAAAGATCACAGACAGTTAACTATTGCACTTGGTAGTAAATGTTTTGAACAGGTTACTATGTTAGTAGTTATGTACAGAACATCACTGCTTTTACAAGTTGATAACGGAGTTGGCAGTGACGTTACCTTTTCACATCTTATTTTGTGCTCGCTAGTTTAATGATGTCCAACGTTTTTAAAAATCTACCGTACAGCTGCAAAACTACACAACTACTGATGTATTGCTGGAAATTTAATACTGGGGGTAATAAGATTAAGCTACTACAGTGGAAAAGTTTGAAGATCAAGCTACATTATTTGATGTTTGAAATAGAAATAATAATAAAATTTATTCAGTGAAATTGTCATACAGGTTTACAATTAAATTGGATAGGCATGTTATTTAAACTATGCAGGTGAACAGTTCATCATGACTATAGACAATGTAGGGCCGTGGGAGTGTACAGTTTTCTATGTGTCTAAGACAGTGCAGGTATACAACAGTGGTAAACAGTTTGGCTGTTTGACCAAAAATAGCCAACAATGCTGTCAGATGCTTATTTCCAGGAGAGTTATTTTTTGAGGCTACATAATTTTCAATGGTGGATCTAGACATTTACAATTGGGGAATGAGGCGTACTGGATCCTTTGGAAAACTGAAGAAAGACAGATTCCTGTTCCTTAATGTTATTGGAAAAATTAATAGTTACACAGTAATTGTATCCCACTACATATGGTAGGAGAATGTGCACAAGACGATAAAAAAAAATCATTCAACCAAAATGTGCACCTCCTACAGTACAAAATCCTTGATGATGACGTGCGAGTGTGCCTGTGTGTATGTGTGCGTGCCACATCACTACCTAAGGACAGTATTCTGTGGATCCTCCAGTCCCTCACCTGCCTGTAACTCCTCACCCTTCACCACCTGCCCTGCCTGTAACTCCTCACCCTTCACCACCTGCCTGTAACTCCTCACCCTTCACCACCTGCCTGCTGCCCTGCCTGTAACTCCTCACCCTTCACCTGCCTGTAACTCTCACCCTTCACCACCTACCCTGCCTAACTCCTCACCCTTCACCACCCACCTGTAACTCTTCACCCTTCACCACCTTGTAACTCTTCACCCTTCACCACCTACCCTGCCTGTAACTCTCACCCCTTCACCACCTGCCTGTAACTCCTCACCCTTCACCACCTGCCTGTAACTCCTCACCCTTCATCACCTGCCTGTAACTCCTCACCCTTCACCACCTGCCTGTAACTCCTCACCCTTCACCATCTTCTTGTAACTCCTCACCCTTCATCACCTGCCTGCAACTGTAACTCCTCACCCTTCACCACCTGCCTGCAACTCCTCACCCTTCACCACCTGCCTGTAACTCCTCACCCTTCACCACCTACCCTGCCTGTAACTCCTCACCCTTCACCACCTGCCTGTAACTCCTCACCCTTCACCACCTGCCCTGCCTGTAACTCCTCACCCTTCACCACCTGCCCTGCCTGTAACTCCTCACCCTTCACCACCTGCTTCCATCTGTTTAACATCAGCCAACTTGTTCTAACTCTGCCACCTTCTACAGCTACTACTTCTGCCCCATATTCCTGGAGGACATGGACAAGGTGCGTCACGCCATCTATATGTTTGTGGACTTGTTCGGTTTGTCACGGTTTGAAAAGGATAACCTGATCCGGTTCACGCTGACGGTGAAGAAGAACTACCGACGGGTGCCTTACCACAATTGGACGCATGGCTTCAGCGTCGCCAACTCCATGTACACCATCATCAAGCACGCCCCCAAGGCCTTCCGACCCCTCGAGGTGACACACACATGCTCCCATTGGGGTTTCTGGAGTGGGGAAAGCCAGGGAGTATGTAGGCATGGGATAGCTAGAATAGTATGGAGACCAAGGGAGCAGAATGAACTTGGGATAGGGTCATCTGAGGTACAGAGGAACCAGAGGAAGAGAACGGCCAGGGAAGTAGAAAAACCATTAAAGTAGAAATAGAAAGTACTTGTGTCCAGCTCAATGTTGTTAGTAAGATTATGAAAAGTTATTCAGTGGAGAGTAATGAAATTTTAAAGGCTTCATTGAATTCTTGACGAGCACTTCAAGCTGTTTGAATGACTTCAATACAGTATTCTAAATTCTCAATTGTTTTTGGACTTTGATTTTTTTTTTGCCGGTGGGTGCATATATTTTTTCTAGTTGCCTTAGATTTTCCATAATAAAAATTTCAATTATTTTATTTTATTTTGCTATGGCGCACACAGTGCCTCGCCCTGTTCATTGGGTCCCTCTGTCATGACCTGGACCATCGTGGTAAGAACAACAAATTCATGCTGGAGACTGAAAGTCCACTGGCAGCCATCTACACCACCTCTACTCTTGAGCACCACCACTTCAACCAGACTGTCACCATCCTTCAGCAGGTGAGATACTCCTTTCCTGGATCCCAGAAAACCTCAAACCTAAGCAAGTTGGGGCAATAATTTAAAGTTTACCCTTCTAACCTATGCTTTAGTGCTTAAAGGGTGAGAAAGAAGTTACAGTTGTCTGGGAGCTAATGGGTCAGTTATCACATAGCTCGAGCAAGACCCATTCACCTCAAGCTCAGTCATAATCCGGACACGTGACTACCTCTTTTCCCCCAACCACTGACCAACTGAAAATACCTCATGTCTACTCATTCATCAGAACAATGTGGGCTGCATTTTCATTAGTGGGGGATAAGCTAACCTGCCCCATGTGTTCCTTTATGCCCACCTGCCCCGCTTGTTCCTTTGTGTTCACGTGCCCTGTATGTCCCACTCAAGGTCACGCTCACCTGCCCTGTATGTCCCAGCGGTGATCACGCTCACCTGTCCTGTGTATCCCACCGGCTTTGAAGCTCACCTGTACCATATGTTCCACCAGCGGTCACGCTTACCTGCCCCATATGTCTCATCAGCAGTCACTCACCTGCCCTGTATGTCCTTCTGTCTGTTGAGCTCACCTGGACTGTATGTTTCATCAGCTGTCATGTTCACCTGCCTCGTATGTCCTACAGGCAGTCGCTCTAAAATGACCAATATTTCCCAAGGGCTCACCTGCCCTGCTTACCTGCCCACCAGCAGTCGTGCTCACTTGCCCTGTATGATCTGCTGGCGGGACATACAGGGCAAGTGACCTGCAGTCCAGTCACAACAAGATGATGCTGCCATATGTTGGTGGAGAGAGCGCTATTAATGTGTTACGAACAAACACAAACTTTTGATTGTACATAAACCAAACAGTATAGACCAGTCTCATGTATATTAATCAGTCTTTGATATATCGCATCTCAGGTTTTAAGGGACCTGCCATATGCAATGAAGTGGAATTCTGCAAAGTGTGGTTGTATACACATTGTTCCAGGTGGTTCATTTCCATGATTCTCGGGCTTATACGTATATAGGATCCTCTTTTGGGGGTCACAATATTTCCAGAATCTAGTCTGAAAGTCATATGATATTGTCATTTGCTGTTACATTACTGTTCCTGGCTTTTTAATCACAAGTTCTGAACTTTGTGAAGAGTTCAGTTGTATAAGTATATATGAAAATTTCCTATTTGATGCTCAAAAGAAACAACAATACAAGTCATTGAATAGTAATTAATGTAGAGTATCTGCCATCTATATACCGGGTATGTAGAATACTGTGTGTGTGCGTGCGTGCGTGCGTGTGTTTTTTTTCTTATACATTACCACAGTTTTGAAGATAGAGCTTAAATTTGATAGGGAGGTGTGGGTGGTCTCTAGACCATGCACTAGTATAGGGGGCAGTGAAATTTTGCTCAAAGCTGCACTCTTCAGGCATTGTTCCTTATACATATCTAAGACTCCATGCCAAATTTGAAGCTGATATGTCGAGGTTTAGTCTGCCGCATTTTCTACTGAAATTTTTAAATTTACCTACAGTACTAGCCAAACAGCCGCTGTGGCGGTGCAATGTTCTGTTCAGTGTTTATCAACTTTTTTTTCATATCTCTTATTTCATTTAAGTTGTCTTGTCCTTGACCAGCGAGGTGACAGGAAGATGAAGATTGCAGGGGTTGACATGAAAGTGACGAAGATGTGGGACAGAGTGACGGCAAGAGAGAAGCATGATGCGGACAGAGTTAGGAGACAGCTTGAGCAAAAACATAAATATCTGGTAGCTGGAGATATTCCTGATGTTGAGGATAATTCAGATGATTCAAGAGATATTCCTCTCGTCAATACTGATGCTGATTTTGTCCCTGATCCAAGGGCTCTGACAGACACCAGTTCACAGAACCGGACAAGACTCCCTACACTGGCTGCCGCTTGTGACCGATACTTGATTAGTGATTATGCTGGAGCTGCCATTGCTACTGCCACCTTAACTGACTATGGCATTCTCACAAAGGATGACAAGAGTCAGGTTATTGGACCACATAAGCTGCGGGATGCGAGACAAAAATACCGATTTAAGAGGCAAGAAATTGAGATGGCTAGTTTAGATAATTTGACGTCACTCTATTTTGATGGTAAGAAGACTGCCACTCGTGTGATGATAAAGAATGAGAAGACCGAGAAATGGAGTTCGAGGATGATGGTGAAAGATCATTATGTCATCATGGTTGAGCCTGGCAATGAATATCTCACACATGTGACTCCCAAGACTGGACACGGAAAGCAGATTGCCAAAACTATTCACGAGTTTCTGGTGGAGAAAAATCTAACCCAGCAGCCCATTGTGTGTGTTGGTTGTGATGGAACCAATGTAAATGTAGGATCAGAAAATGGAGTCATTCATCATCTTGAAATGTTACTTGGTCACCCGCTCCATTATTTCATATGTCAGCTTCACGGAAATGAGCTGCCTTTCCGCGCAGTTTTTTATCACTATGATGGTAAACCAAGTGGTCCTGAGCATTGGCGTGGTCCCATTGGAAAGCAGATCAAGGAGTCTTTGTCTGAGCTTCCAGTTGTCGTCTTCCAGCCAGTCAGTTTCCCTGATTTCCCTGTGTTTAATGATGAAGTGGAGAAAAATCTGTCCTGGGATCAGAAATACCTGTATAGGAATTGTAAAGGAGTTATCACAGGTGTTGTTGAAGATGACTTGGCTGCTATTGAGCCAGGTCCTCCCTGTGTGTCAAGGTGGAACACCTTATGGAGTAGAATCCTCAGGCTGTATGTAGCAACATCAAGACCCAGCCATGAGTTGAAAAGAATTGTCATTACAATAATAAAGTTCAGTGCTCCAATGTGGTTTTACATCAAGATACACCCTTACGTAACACACGGCTCAAGGAACGTATTCCAGTCCCTGCTATATATGAAACACCTGAATAGTGAGGAGGAGACGATAGTGAAGAAGGCTGTCCAGAGAAATGCATACTTCGCCCACACAGATCAACTTCTTCTTGGTATGTGTGCAGATGAGGACATGACTGTTAGAGAAAAAGCTGTCTCAATGATAAGAAAAATTAGAGAGGAGAATCAGCAAAAGGAAGAATGCACTGGCAGATCTGAAGAGGAGGAGGAAGATTCTGATGCTGCTGTTGACGAGAATTTGTTAAACTATACTGATGAGGAGGGTAAAGATGGAGATGGGAATGAGGATGTGCCTCCTGTAGTCAACATGAGAAAGGTGGTGACTCCGAAACTAAAGTGGCAAGCAAAAAACTATCATTCCATGATTAACTGGAGGAATGAACTCAAGACTGAGCCTCCTTACATTGCTTCTCTGTCAAATCTACAGGTTAATGACATTCTTGAGACACCATTAGTGGTGCCCAAGTGGCCAAACAGCACTCAGGCGGTCGAGAGAGGCATAAAAGTGATGACTGAAGCTTGCACTGAAGTGACGGGATACGAATCGAGAGATGGATATATTAGGCAAAGATTATTGTCTAGGAAAATGATGCCAAGGTTCCGCACAAAAAAGAATTTCAATATGAACTTGTAATGATTTTCTATACGGTGTACCTGTAAAATAACATGTGAATTAAATCGATGTCACCCATGTAAAATTTATCATTATCCTGGAAAACATTAAATGACACCTAATTTTTGGTATACACTAAAAGTTGACAAAAAGTCGTTCGCGATGCGGCAGGGTAGGTATGCATGAAATGGCATGAAATTTTGCACAGGTGTTTGTTACAGCCATACAAACGATGCCTGAAAAGTGCAGCCTGCAACTCAAATAAAAGTGTTTTTTCCCTGCCCCCTAATGCACTATCTCCTGTCCTTCCACTCAGGCAAAACAGGGTAACTCGTCTAGTTATATATGAACCACTGTTTTGTGGAAGTAGATCTGAAGGTGAAAAGGTTAGCTATGATAATAATAATATTTGATGTTAAGTGAAACTATGTTAGTGGTGTAGAAAGAGTTTGTACAGATATATAATTGTTGAGATCATTGCAGGAGGGCCACAACATCTTTGGGAAGCTGACTTCAACAGAGTATAAGCAAGTGTTGGGAAACATAAAACACTGCATCCTTGCTACAGACTTAGCACTGTTCTTCCCAAACAAGGCCAGACTCATCAAACTGGTTGAAGATAAACTTTTTGAGTGGGAAAATCCAGACCACAGGTGAGTGTACTATACTATTCAAATAGGCTAAGCAGGTATTGGGTTACTTGTGAGGGTGCCAGACCACAGTGGAAGGTGCAATTTGATGACATCTCTCTTGAGAAATCCCCCTCATAAATGCTCACAAATTGAACAGAAGGGGTCCTAAATTGGCTAGTCATTCGAGTTTGATATCGCTGGGTGTTTTTATCCAGAAAGTTTAAATGTTCTTAGTTTTCAGCTCTAATGACTTTAAAATTACAAAATATTATGAAACAATTAATTACCTGTACTCTAATATTATAGTCTTCTCCACTAAATTGATCCACACTCCAAAGGCTTTCTCAAAACACTCACTCGTACCTCAGGCAATAAAACACACAATATTTCCCTCCTCTTTTATTTAGACCTCAGGGCCACAATCCTTGCATTTCTGGCCATGTGTGGCAAGAAAATTTATATGTGGCTGGCATGACGGCATCCAAAATATGAAATGAGGGGCTGGCTAAGGTAAATTAAGGTTGTCTAAACACTTGATGCATCAAACACCAAATCTAATACAGTACTCTTTATAAATCTGGACAGTGGCGGATTAAGGGGGGGGGGGACCTTTTCTCAGAAGACTCACATGATGTCACATTAGACTGAATCATGTCAGGTCAAGTGTCGACTCGTGCCAAGACCAACTCGTACATATTCCTGGCTAGTGGTAAACAACATAAACAAGCCACTTGTCATTAGTGTACCAGGATCAGTGACCTATGTCGGGTGAAGGTAATTTATCTCTACATTATGCCGCCAACCCGACACTAGTTATTCGGTGTCAAGTTGTCAACATTTCAAAGGAATCACCAAGCTGAGAGACTTTAGTCGTAAGGTGACGTGAGTTTTAGCCTCACATGACAAAAAGGTTACCGCTTCTACCACCAGATTATAGTTTATCACAGGTGCTGGCTCTGCTGCAGATTCACCACAAGAATTAGACTTCAGCAAGATCATGGACAAGTTTGCCATCAAGTGGTGTCTGTCTTCCTGTCTAGTCTTTTATGGCCTCCTACCTCGTACTTTGTGTCCCACTGCCTACCGGTAATCCCTTGTGTTCCCCACCTTAGTTTTTTGTGTCCCTCTGCTTAGTTGTTTCACGAAGGAATAGAAAAAGGGGACACAAAGGACTAGGCAGGGGAACACAGAAGACCAGAAATGGGGACAAAGAACTAGAGGCTTGGACACTAAGTACTAGGGAAGGACACAATGGACCAGGGAGGGGACAAAAAGACTAGAGAGGACTTGGCAGAGGGGTATAAATGACTAAGCTGGGGGACTCGGTGACTAGGCAATGGGACATATCGACTAGGCAGGGGGGCACAAGTAAAGGGCAAGGTGAAATGATTTAGTAGTCACTGGGCAGGACTGTATGACGACAAACTTTCTTTCATTATTTTATGTTTAATATATTTGATACATTATAGTACCTGACAGTTGGCAACACACACACACACACACACACACACACGCACGCACGCGCACTTCTGTCTCTCTCTCTCTCTCTCTCTCTCTCTCTCTCTCTCTCTCTCTCTCTCCTTGGAGCGATTATAGTCAGAATTCACAGTTAGTCTTTTCTGAGATTCAGAGTAAGAAAATTGTGTTTTCATTTGCTTCAAACACTTTTCTTTGTAAGCAGATGAGGTCACTCATTGTCCACCATATACTGATGCGGAAAATCTTGCTGATACACAGTTGTAGCTTCTGGACCTGCTGATTAATATCATGAAACATTCACAAAACCATAGAGTAATTTTTTAACTTTTGGAAAACAAATATTGTATCAGTTACCAGTGAAACGAGTAAACTTCATAGTGTTTTCAATATTTAGGTCAACCTATTGTTGCCAGCAGACTAATGTAATGAACAATTACCGTACTGTACTGCTCGGAGTTCACTAACACTCACAACAGATCTTGTGGAAGTAGTTTTTACTAAATTTGAACTAGATTTCACAAAAATTGCAGAGAATATTCAGTGTCAAATTTCATATGAGTTTAGTAATCATTTATTTGTTTTGTTGAATATGTAACATTGTTTTATGTTCATTAATATTTATTGTCACCAATTTAGTTGTGTAAATGTTTGTTGTGTATAGTACATGTAAACCAATACTTGTTTGAATACTGTATATGGTTTAGTTATATATACAGTATCTTAATGCCAAATTTCATGTTTTATTATTTTTATTTAATACATAATGCATGATTTCACTGTGTTGACTGCAGCCAATTACTGGTTTTTGTTTGTTGTTTGTAATGTGGCCAATCACAGTATAAAGGTTGCAGACCCCTGCTTCACACACTTTTTTTTCATTTGCTTTTGCATAGAACTCTGTATAAAAATGCTTTTCATATATGCACTTGTTAAAAGTGCTCATGGCCACATGAGAGACATATGTGCTACCAGGTACCTGGACTTTATTTTGCCACATTCTGGACTTCTGTCTGGATTGAAGGTTGATCAAAAATCCTCCCAAGGCATCTGTTTTGAGGCAGACTCCAGATTCAAGGGGTCTAAATTGGAGGGGATTTATTATATGGCCATTTTCAATTGGGAATACAGTACACCATTTAGTACAATAGATCTCAATTTTCAGCAGCAAACCATCCCACATCCACCTGATATTACATCCACCTCGAAACACAACATGTACCCCAACACACAAATCCACACTCCAGACTAAATATAGAACAATTACCGGGGTATTCCTTCCTTGTAACCTAACTGATTATTTCTTTCCTGACAGACTCCTAATTGAGGCTATTGCCATGACAGCATGTGACCTGTGTGCCTCTGCCAAGCCTTGGGATGTTCAAGTTGAGACTGTCAAGGTCATTTTTGAGGAGTTTTATGAACAGGTATGGCACGTAACCTTGAATGAAGATTGTCTCTAATATGATAACACCTTGATTCTTTTTTGTCTTTACTTGATAAAGATACTGTATATCCCATTTATGATTACTGGGAAGCATTTTATAGCTTCACAGAAAACCAGCATTTGTTTAATTTGAGACCATTAGCCACAGAGTCTCTGAGAAAATTAATGCATGGACGTGAGGTAGAAATATGTGTGAGAATTTAATGGTTGTTATCAGAATGACTGAGGTAGTTAAATGAACATGGGCAGTGGTAAGCCAAGTAAGATGAGTACTGTATAATCAGACAACAGATGGATGAATGAGCAAAGCTGGGCCAAGTGAGTTGAGTGAGCACAAATGAAGCAGTTGCAGAACTGCATACATTAGATGAGCAGAAGAAGAATGCTACTGCTATGGATACTAGAGTTGAGCACTTGGAAGCTTTATTCAACTTATTACAACATTATACCTGAAAACAAGACAAACTCAGTATTGTACAGTATAGTCTGCATTTACGCAGTCAATTGAACCCGTGGAGGTCCGCGTAAAACGAGAAATGCGTAAACGAAATAACAGAACATATGGGATTAATTGAAACAGAGACTGGGCCGACTCTCAAACTCCACTTTTTCCGACACAATACGTACCTTGTAGTAAAAATAATATCATAATTTTATGATGGTATTGACACACACATAATATCTAAATAAAAAAACTACACTACTGTACAAATATAAAGGTGTTTAACACTTACGTTAGTAGAAGAGATGGGTCTGTACACGGGGATGGCGGCTGGTTCCGAGGCAGAGCTCAGATTAGTGGCCCTCCGGTGAATCACTATCACTATTCACAGAGGTTTGCAGGGCCTCCCTGACAAACACCTCAAAGTCCATATCCTCACTGTCACTATCACTGACTTGGGCTGGCTGTGGTTGCGGTGAGTTGTGGGCGAATAAGTCCGTTATACTACGTTGAAGACTAGCATTGATGTTGTCGTGATACATCTGGACATACGGCTCCATAATTTTTGACAGAAGGTTATTAGACACTTCATACCGATGCTTGACTTGTGTCTTTGTTAAGGATGAGTCTTGATTTTTTCCCCCAACTCAATGACTTCCTTAACATAACCATGGCTTGGTCCAGGTAGTTCAAGGTTTCTCGGGGGTGGTGGGGGTCCAGCGGAAGCCATTATGAGGGGAATAGTGGGCACAAGAGAGAACAGTATATGCGGAGAACTGAGAACAATGAGACTGGCCCGGCTAGGTCAGCGACTTCTTCCCTCTGGTGGCAGGGCACGTCATGTTACATTAGACCAATCACAGCTAGCGGCGGAGAGAGGTAAGGGTGCGTGGCCCAATCACAGCTAGCGGCGGAGAGAGGTAAGGGTGCGTGGCCCAATCACAGCTAGCGGCGGAGAGAGGTAAGGGTGCGTGGCCCAATCACAGTCCGATACGTCATATGGCGTCAGCGATAACGTAAGAGCGACCTAATGTGCACCCTCCAGGCGCCGCTTCCCGCGTAAATGATGGAATGAACTGCGTAACTTAAAATTTTCATTCTGGCAAGGTGCCACGTAAATGACCAAACTCGTAAACCAAATCTGCGTAAATGCAGACTATACTGTATTTGTAATACGCTATTGGATTATATAGCTGCAACATTGTTAACAACAGCATAATACAATAAAGTACACTTCAGTTACTGACTTAATTAATGAGCACAGGTAAGGCAAAGGAGGTAAGACTAGTGTGGGAGATGTACAACCCAAAAAAATAAATTCTGTACTGACCAATAATTTAAGTTTTATTCCTACAGATATTTTATAAATACAAATGGTGTGTATGTACAGTAAATTTGAATACTGTTACTATGTCAATATGGGTAACAGGCATATCACCATATGATGCGCTGGAGAATATTTCAAAACATTTTGTCCAGCATATCAATTTGTGAAGAAAATGGAAGAACAACATTGAGATATGTGAGGAAACAGATAAAACATCTTAGATGAGTAAGAACAGGTAAGATGAGATGAATAAAAACAGGTAAGAAATGGTATGGCAGGATGAGTACCAGGAAGAACAAGTGTGAGAGGACATAAATGAGAAAAGACAGAATATGAATGTGTTTTCATAAGGTAATTAAGTATGAGTGAATAATTATGATGAAAAGCTGAGTTTAAGATGAGCTGTGATCATGGAACACGGCTAATGTGATGAGGTAGCAAATGGCTATTCAGGAAATTCCTGGGTAAGGAGAATTGCTGAAAAAGTTGAAAATCAGCCTGTGTCGCTCCTTCACTTAAGAAGGGCTGTAATACAGCTGAAACAATTAACAGTGGTCCAATGTAGAGGCTGAGATAAGTCAGCTAGCTGCCAAGATCTTGGCATCCATTCATAAAATTGTGTGTCAAGTGATACATCAATAAACTTTCCCATCAGTCTCTAAGTTTCCTGACTCCAAACTGCACTTCAGTTCACACACACAGGAGCTCTTCACTACAACTTAATCAAACTAGATAAATATTTAATTCTTTTGTTTCCAATTAGTCTATATGTGTGCAGTATCTTTAATTTTGTCTGAAGAAAATACATTTTGAATAACTTTTAATGTACTATACGTATTGTAAAATTTTTTTTTTGAGAAATTTCTCTTTTTGTTATATAGTAAAAATCCCATAATTCGAAATACAGTAATAGGAAGTCTAGCCCTTACAAATTATGAAGTTTTACAAAATATGAGGGACACATTCTCCCAATTCAAATTTAAACATTTCTAAGTACGGTACAGTACCTGTTGAGGTGCTTGGTCCAGGGTTATCAGACATAGTGGCTCAAACACTGGGCAATGATAGAAAAACAAGTGGAAAAAACTTTTGTGGGAGACGTTAGATGTGTACTCCATGACTGACCAATGTGAACTGACCGACAGGTGACACGAATAATACTACATGTACTTGTTTACACTGAGGTGAGCCGGGCAGTCGCATCCCATGCTAATATATGCGTTGCATATACCTGTATTCATAAATGTGTGTCATAATCCAAAATTTAACCAAATACTTGTACATGTATTAAGAAATTTGTAATGTATATTTTGTAATAGCAAAACACTATGAATTATGAGTGGTACGAAATATGGGGTTTTTACAGGTGTACGACAAATGGTCTATAAGTTGCAGCTGAAGAGTTATGCCAATCAGCCAAACATACCTGCAAACAGAGCAGTCTCATCACTGCATCATAGCTTCACTTCATTAGGAAAAAATCTTGTTTGACAGATTTTCTCACCTTCATTGTAACCGCACCATAATTCATACAGTATTTAAAAGATCCCTTTTCGTACTTATTTATGATAGGGAAACATCACTAATTAATAAGTTGTCTCAGTCTATAATTTCTAAAGGTTAAACTCTGGTTTACATTCTCAAGACTCGTGGCTGTAATGCACAAGTCAACACCTTCCTAGCTCAGCCATTAAATAGGATTTTGGGAACAATTCTTCATATATCTTAATTACCGGTATGTTTATAGTACCAGCCATATTATTGTTTAATATTTTTTATAGTGTACTGTATTGTTGTACAGTACTGTACCAAACTGTATTTTATAATGTTTGATGATTTTATAGAGGAGTTTACAGTACAGTATATGGCTTTACCTGTAGGGTGATGCTGAGAAAGCTGTTGGGAAGAAACCCATACCAATGATGGACAGAACAAGGACAGATGATCAGGCAGAGTCTCAGGTGAGTGATTCATTTGCCAACATTACTCTTACATTTTCTTAATCTCACCCACAGCAATATGGATTTTACTCTTATTCCAAATGTTAAATTTACAACTACAGTATTGTAGTATTTATGAGCAGTAAATTTTTGCTTCTATAATGTAAAGCCAGGTACTTTAAAAGGAATCCTCGATCAAACCATGATGAAACTCTCTTATTTATTGCTGGGAAAGTCTTTGCAGCAGGACTCCTAGGGACCTAGATATTTACAGCTATTAAGAAAGATATAGTTGCAGTTCCAAGTTTACCACACAAAGCATCATAGTGTGTGTGTGTCTTTTCTTTGATCTGATCTTTTTTTACCAAAATGTAATATTTGGCATCTCCTAATAAAACCAAACAAAATATAACTAAAAACCTAAAAACACCAAAAAAGTTAACAAAGGAAAAAGGAAACTTGCTTCCAAAGGGTGAGAACTACGGGTACAGTAGTCCTCGTTTATTGCAGTGGTTCTGTTCACGGAGTTTTTTGTCATATGCATAATTGCAATATACACGGCTAATTTTTCCATGAAGGGGAATGTGTTCATGGCTAAAAATTTTAAGGGTGCTTTGACTGATTTTTTTATAGTAACTTTAAAAATTATTAAATATTTACAACTATTATGCAGTGTACTTTACAGTCTATGAAATACAATATACCCTCATTAGTTTGACAAAAAAGGGGCTCTGGGTCACTCAAATTACCGAAAAATATGAATAACCGAATTTGAAATACAGTACTGTACTGTATTTTGACATTATTCAACAATTGCTTTGTTTTTAGAGGGAAGTAACCTTCTATCAATCTCTACAGTGTTGCAGAATTTTAGGATACAATTTGGGTTAAATAATGTACACTCGGTAAAAAAAACTACCATTACAATTCCTGCACAAAACAAACTAACACTACAAACGAAGTGTTTCAAAAAAGCCCCTGAGGCATTTTTCTCATTGGTAGACCTGCACGTGTATGGGTTCGGCCACACGTGCTCGAATCAAGTGATCGGCACTCTGAAACGAAACCCAGTGCAGTACTAGACTTTCCGGAATTATCGACCATAGGGTAAAACGTCTTTGGGTCGGGTTCCATTATGACTGCATGCGAAACTGTGAAGCTGTTCAGATGTTTTGGAATAGCATGGTATATTTTACAATACAAATAAAGAGTGACATAATGTGGCATTAGCCCAAAGTGAAGTAGCAATACAAATACAGATTCGAAATTCGGTTGCAAAATTATCTTATACCTTTACTATATCCACTAATTCTGCCAAACATATAATGCATTCCTATATGGTAACTCATCCACTTTCATTGTTACTGTAGTCCATACAGTTTAACTTATCTAGATATGCTGACATTCTCCAGTCATATTGTAATAAAGTAATTCAATATTGTCAATGAAATACAGGTAGCTAATTTCGGCTGACCAAATTAAGTACAAAATGTCTTACATTCAGGCCGACCAACCCTTGCAAGACAATGGGAATGTTCAGTTGGAAAATCATCGGACCCCACCTGTACGTAGTTTTTTTACCGAGTGTACCACCATTGCTCAGTTTGTAGAACTTTCAGGAATCCACCAGTAGGCAGTAGCTGTTGGTTGGGAAATACCAAGGATTCCAAATTTATATTAGGTTGATGACTCCTAAGGAAGTTTCAGCATCATGCACTAGTTAGTTATACTTTGGTCTGCAAGTATGCATTACCATGCCTGTTGAAGGAACTTTTCTATTTACTGTTCATCGAAGGCTTTTGGCACCCTATTCATGTTTCTTTTTCCTAAAATGGTCCCTCAAACTGGTTTTAAGGTTTTTAGATGACAACAGGACCCTAATTGAGTCAGGGTTGGAATAGGCTATCATGAAAGTAGTGTTTCTTTTGGCTGTAAGGGTGGACAACAGTTTTATTTTTATCAGATCTTCAATGTTGTGAATCTGTTTCAAAGTGCTAAGTTTTTAAAAAAAATTGAACCTCCAATCTTAGACCAGAACAGTTTCAAGCATCGGAACTGGAAGGAAGATCACATCACTTTATTTGACCTGTTTACAACTACATTCAGTTAACAGACAGGTTAATCAGCAGTTCTTTATTATGGATCATAAGTTTATAGATGGAACCTCTAAGGTTTGTGTTTCTAACTTTGTGAGAACCATTCAGCTCTTTCAACTAGCTTGTATCCTTTGTGGTCATGCTCTCTGCACAGTGGTATGCTTCTTACTTTTCCTCCAGTGGGTTACACTGATGTCCATACTCTAGAGGAGAACAAACATCTTTAAAGATATTCATCACTGGATATGGACAGTGTGATGCTGAAGAGATAAGTTCTATACCCTGGATCCTGGGTGCAAGTTGTGCTATTCAGTAGTTTGCAGTTCATGCCTCGTTCCCCCCATTGGTTCTAAATACCTTGTGTGTAGATGAGTTGGCAGACCCACTCAGTTCTGAGCTTCAACAACTGCCCTAGATCTTTCTGTAAAGCTCGAAGAGATTATATCTATGGTTTTCTAGTTTTATTGGAATTCTGGAGTTTAGTCCAATCATACAAATGAAGAATTCCTGGGAGCTATATGGGTCATCCTGCAAGCTTGATGGTACAGTAAATAAATTGTGTTATCCATGGTCATCGTAAAATGGGACCTCAGGATTAATCCTACATTTTTCTTGAAGGTTGGTTTCCTGTCTGGCATCTGCATCCCATGCTATGAGCTGCTTCACAAGCTCATTCCTGACACTGAGCCACTACTTAATGGCTGCAAGGAAAACCTACAAAGGTGGAAGCAGATTGCTGAGGATAAGAAAAAGGAAGCCAGTAAGATTAAAGAAGAGGATGGGGAAGAAACTGATACAGGAATAGAGGAGGTTAATGAAGAGGAGGAAGGTGAAGAAACTATAGAAGAAATTGATGATGAATGTGTTGATGGGAAAAATGATGCTGGAAAAGAAGATGACACGTAAGATAATGAACTTCACGTGCAATATCAGGTTAAAATAAGACTTTTATACAAAGGAAGCATTTCAAAAGTAGTGTACATAAAGCATATCAGGTACAGATATGAGTTCTACACTTTTGTAAGGGTAGCAAATCAAAAGCAGAAATGTTTTTTCATAATTGTTGAGATATGTTAGTAGTGCTTGTAAGGATGAAATGTGAGATCATTACATTGTTTCCTACTAAAGCATATCCAGAAATGCTAAAAGACAGTGCCATATACCTTGGAGTAAAAAACTCTTTCATGATACAGTCATGCAAGACCAAATTTTGTCATAGTTTTGGGATACATTATTCCCTGTTTTTGACAAATGAGTTCAGAAATGAAGCTAAGTTCTGAACTATCAACACACAGTGTTGCATCAGTGGTTGGGGTTCTACGAGCAGACTACCAGGAGGTAATTTAACATTTGAGGTTCCTTAATTCTGGTAATTCTCCAGACAAAATATTGAGTCATGAAAATTTCTCATAATACAGTAAATTGTAAAATATCCTGTGTTGATAGTAAAAAAAAATGTACTGTATCGATAAAAAAGTTCACTGTATTCAATATTTGAGCATGAATTTGAAATACTGTGCAGCATACTGTAAAATCTTGTACATATGTCCTCTTTTGACTAGACATTACCAGGTTATGAATTACCATGTTGTGATCATGATAAATATTTAAACGAAAGTAGAGTAATTTCTGAAAACATATCCTGAGAAAAGGAATCATTTAAGATTTTTTATATTCATTTTGGAAAACAGTGATTGGAACAAATCAACCAAATAGTGTACAATGTAAAGTCAAATTTACTTTGTACAAATTTAAAATACAAATCTTCGAAAAAGATCCGCAATCTAAATTGACACAACAAATGTTTTTTTATACCTTATGTCTTAGTAGCACTGTAGCTAGATGCTCCCTGACTGTAAATGATGCTGACATCTTGCTTACTGAAAATTGCCTTAATAAACTAGATAAGCAGAAGTTGCAGTGAGAGAACAGTGTGATCGTCTGTGCATTCCTGGTCTATTCATAAATTGTGCTAAAATCTGGTTTTGTTAGCAATTTTCTTTTAACGAATGTGCTGAAAACCAAGTATTCTTGATGTTCGGTGGATACAACCATCTGTTCTATTTGTGTTCTTTCATAAACAAGCTCTACAGTTACATGTGCCGTTGTAACGGGCCGAGTTTCCTCTTTTCAATAATTTACCATATAGATATTATTTTTCAGTTAGTATTCTATTCATTCATATACTTATTTGTTCTGTAGCAGTCTTTCCAATGAGTATCCTGTTTTATATACTTATCCTTCTTCAGTTCTTTACACACATACTTACTTTATATATTCTTGCTTATATTCTTATATGTTCTTTATCTCTATATACCTTATATTCTTATATAGTCTTATATAAGTAACTCTTATGCTTCTCTGCTTATGTTTTCCAAGTCAATGTTCTTTCTTTTCCTTTCCTTTCATATATTATGATCTCTTCCATATATTTTGTTCTAGTTATATTCTAAACCATGGATTAACCTGGGAACCATGTCTTTGTTATTACCACACTTATTATACTTACAACGATAGCCTGCCACCACCCAGGATTTTTCTAGAATATAACATCTCTTAGTTAACTGTTAGGTAGCGAGCTTCTAGGCACGTGAATTAGTTATTTTCTGAGAACCAATGTGGGAAAGGATAGAGTGGTGATACTCGTAGACGTAGATTACTAGTTCAATATTTATTAACACAGTGATTGGATAAGATGCATCATAGATTCACTCTGACAAAGCAGAACTGCAATTTATTTCTTAAGTCATCAAACACTTCAAGAACTTATTACCTCATTAAGTACCTCCAAATACTTATTACTTCAATCGACAATTGTGGTATTGTCACTCTGCCACATGATATCACTGGACCCTTCGGTCTTACCTTACCAAGTAGCAAATTAACTCTTCACTTCTTGGTTATATCATTATACTCTCAGATTATCATTTCATGGTCACTACCGATGAATACATAGCACACTGGACAACTCCACAATTATCTCAACATACAATACCTCCGGTTAATTCACAAGGAACAACATGGCACTTTTAACTCTCATTCAGTGGTTCAATACTTAACCTGGGATACTATATTTCTGCTAGGTATCCCCCAAACAAGATACCATAATACTTAGGCCTATGTAACCGTGAGGAGTGCCCCAGGGTAACGCTGGTCTCTACAACAAATGAAGATCGCTGTTAGGGGTCGGTTGTAGACCGACACACGCTCAGGGAGTGGGCGCCTGATTTGCAGGAAACGGACTTCCCAGTTCAGTCCTGTCGAATTAACGGCATCGTCCAACCCGGTTACCGCCCCACGTTAGCCGATGAGTATTCAGCTCAACACACTGGAGAGACGTTGAGGAAGTCACGAATGCCTAAAGGTCTAACTTCAACTATACAAAACATACGCCTGGCAACGGTTCAGACAATATCTAAATCTCTACGTTACTCGACTTAATTGGCACAGAATTCACTATGTTAACACATGAGCACTGATATTCACCAAAATTGACTAAGTTAAACTGAATTAATAGGCGGCGGGAACACACGTTAACATACCTGGAGAGACGTTGAGGAAGTCACGAATGCGTGATTCTCCCTCATGTAGAGGTATATATGTGCACCTGCTGGGCAGCTTGGGCCTCCATATTCATACCAGAAGGGTCGATCTTACCAACAACATAACTTCTCTATCATTTTGGATCACTGTATACTTAGTTATGAACTCCGGTGTTCTTGATCAGGGTAATTTCCTATGTCTATTCATATAATCTAATCAGAGGTTGAGCTTGCCAGGAAAAGGTGGGATATACACGTCGATAACATTAATTCTGCAAGCTCAGGCCTGAGGCGAACAAGGAGCTAGTCACGGGGAGGCGCTAGATCTTGGAGATTATACCAGTTGACAGAATAGTTCAGGAGATTAATGACTTTCTCAAATAGACAACTGACACTAATTAAACTATAAACATCAGATTCTCTGATGTCGGGGCGACAAAATGATATAACTTCAGGCGCGATCAGAAACTCATGGATACCCCCACGGACGACATAAAATACGCCACTCTAGCTGGCAAACTCGACACTCACTTACTTGACACGTTCTACTAACGATAAGGACAGTTGAAGCATTCTACCCCACTCACAATGGATCTTGAATGTTCCAACTGTAAACAGACATATCTAAGTTGACTCAAAACAAGGGTGTTCTCTCTCACACTCAAATTCATTTTATAGAGAGGTTGGTTTCAGTAAGTCAGAGAAAATGGGATAACGGAGGACTGAGGCGTCTTGAAGTGATGAGAAAACGGACTCCTCAGATGGAGGACTCAAACGAAAGCCGAGTTACATGTTTTGTGGGCTATTGAGCGTAATATGAATCATTTGCTTTTGGCGCTAACTGACGTGTAAGACCGTGGTCATTACACTGTAATATGAACACATTTTCAGGTTTAAGTTTTATTACCATGAAGTATAAGAAAAATAACTCATTGGTCTCGAAGAATTTAATCTGAGCAAAACAATGGTGTTGCTTTATGATCAAATTCTGTGTAGTTTAGTACACTGTGGCATTAGTGAAATATTTTTTGTTTGTTTTGTAATAAAATGAATATTCTCATGAAAGACATACAAAAAAGCTTTCAACATTTTCTAATGTGTCTACAAGCAGTTCTGAATGAAATTACCAAATTTTAATAACTGACTTAACACTTGTAAGAGGGTTTCAGAAGCACTGATGAGGCCTATATATCTGAAGCAAGGGCAAAATAGAGAGTCTTAAGAATGAGGATGATGCTAGTATTGTTGGATGATGGAGAGGAATTCCTATGAGGCAGTGTTGTTGTCAGAGGTGAGGTAAGTGACTGTCATAGTAAATTATAAACAAGTGCTTATTATATATACAAACCTAATGAAATTCTGGGAAAATGGGAAATAGAAATGGCTGCACTGTACAGTACACACTTTGTTGAGGGATGAAGTACAACATTTATGTCTGTTTACTTCTGTACAGTACAGTCCTGTACTGTACTATAATGTTCACCATTTGTCTAATAATGATTCCTGTTAAGAGCTTTATAGATAGCAGAATTAACATTTTCTTAATGACTCCTTATTTATATTATGTATATATTTTTACTATTTTATTTTTCTGACAATATTTATATATAAATGATTTAACTGTACATTTTCTTATTATTTTATAAAATACTACTGTGGTGTACATTTATATAGTGTTATCTAAAGACTGCTTCTTTTACAATACAGTTATGCAACTGCTACAAGAGTTCTTTCCACCATAATATAATACTCACCTGTACAGTACAGTACCCGCCCGCTTAACACACATGATGCTTTCCTGAAAAGCTGCAAGTTATTCAAATGTTAATTTTGTATCGAAACCCATGTGTTTGTGTTTGTTTAGATGTAAAAATGAGTGTTAAGGTGGATATAAATACAGCCTTGAGCTAAATATTTAATTATGAAAATGCTTTAGCCAAACTAAGGTAAATTTCTGTTGTTTTCATAGTTTTTCTTTTTTCTTTTAATTAAAGAGCTCTGTTTAAAATAAAATCTCAATGTTTAACATTTAGAGTGAAGGACTTTGGTTGCCAATACTGTAGTCAGATGTGAGGACGGTACTCTGATTGATTGATGATATGTTTGTTCAAGCTGGAATGCGACGTCAGCAATATTACCTAGGTAATTCCTAGCCAATTCGCCAGGCCAACATACAGGCAATTAAAACATCTAATAATTACTTAATAAGTAATATTAGGAGGGCACACCGCTACCTGGCATTTAACTGCAATTCTCAAAACCCCCTCCTTCACCCCCCACTATAAGCATCACGACCCTCATCTCTTGCCTGGCGATTCAGCTTTAAATGTACACAAAGGAAAGCTCCGCAAATTTTTGTTCTAATTGCTGAAATACTCACCTCCGCAAGGATATTATATATGGTATTTGTACTTAATAGCACAGTGATGAAGTAGAGTGACTTTTATTTTGTTATGTCTCTCATTTATTGTATTTGGGGCATTTTCTTGTACGACCTTTGGTCAGCATGGCAACCAAAACACATTTTCTTTGTGAAATCGTTTAGATCGTTGTGACTATCCCTTGCCTTTATGTCATTCAGTGAATATCGCTGTGCTCTCCCGGGCTTCCCATTTGATTAAAAAAAAATAATTCTTCAAAAGTTTTGTTTAAAGTAAATTTTAACATTTCTGATCTTTTCATTTTTGTTTTGTTTGTTTTTCATTTAAAACAAAATCATGAAGTTTGGATCAAACTTTTGTGTTTTAGTGATGTATAGGATCTTTTATGTGCAAAAAATATCATAAAAAATTACAAATAATAAGTTAAACACAACTAATAAAATTATGTTTATGATAATAATGGTGTGGAAGAAACTTGACTGAGGTATATTCTAGAACATTTTCACCCTAATTTTACTGAGTAATTTTGCCTTCTGAAATAATGTTGCCAGCCCTACAGTAAGAATATTCTGATAATTTCTCAGTTTCTTACCTGGAATTACTGTGTCCACTTGCACGCTGGACTTGAGGAGTAGTTACAGATGAGAAGATAAATTATTGTTTTGGGTTAAAGGGAAGCTCTTGGGGCATTATCAAAGGGATTATTCTAATTTTTTCATCAAAAGTAACAGCAAGTAATAGTCAAGTAGGGTATAACAAAATATTCAGTCACTGCAAAATAACCTGTAAAATACACTTGACACAACCAGCTGTGATCACACTCTAATGGAGAGTACTGTAACAAAACAAAACATAGAGCGTCAGTGAGCATGTGACGGTGAGCAGGTCCAGCATGGATGCAATGTACAATCACAGTCGAAAGTAATTACCCATCCCTCCTACTACCATACCTGTAAGCTGAAGGTCTTTCTACAGGACGAGTCACAAGAGGATGAGGGGTTGAGTTAGGGGTGGCAGACCCGGGTAGGGTAGGAGGGCGCAAATCAAGGACCACATACATAGTGAAAGTATACGGGGACTTAGAATAATCCTTAACACCTGAATCAAGTTAGTGGTTGTAGCTTGATGTTGGCAGCCTTAATAGCCCTGGTAGTTCATAGCCTGAAAACTCAAACAACCAACCAACCAGGAGGGCGGGTGTTCAGGAAGGTGAAGGGGAGGTGTCACATAGACTTAATTTTCTTTTAGTTATCTATGTCGTTACTTAAGATTTTGGGAACTAATGCAAGTGTACTTTTTGGGAGGTAATATGCCGTTAGGTTTGGTAAGGCTTC